GTATGTCAGTGTAGTGTCATGCTTGAAATCACAAAATTGCTGGTGTATGTAACCAATAACTCAGCCTGGTAATCCATCAGTTACCATAGAAAGCCTCTGTAACATAATTAAATCAATTACTTTCCTTGCCCTACAGCGCGTACTTAAGCCTCGCGAGAATGGTATCCCTCACTGTCATAGAGTTCCTCCAGTGCTCTGTATTTCCTAGCATTTCGCTCTGAATTTCTCTTTTCCTGGCATTGACTTCTTCGCTTCCTTTCTCGTATTTGCCCATGACTTCTGCTTGCCTGACTACGCCTTTGGACTGCCTTTGTGTAACGAACTTGGCTTACCTCCCAAAAAGTTCCACTGTGCATCACTGGCTTGGACCCTTGCCTGCCTGACTATGCACCTGGACAGTGTTTTACTTTCGCTTTCGTCTGCCTGATCACCACCACCTCCAGAGCTTGCATCGCACAAGGATCCAGCCTCCCATCTCCTGGCCTGTGCACTCCAGCTGATACATGCAACGGTATTACATGTAGGACATTACCTTCAGCCCAAGAATGTATTGGGTTGTTCTATTATAAATAAAAAATGTTCTATTATTCACTATTACAACCGTACCTCAATCATTAACAATTTAAGAGCAGTGTTCCTAGTACAGATCCATGTGGCACTCCACTAATTAAACGACCCCAGTTTGAGCATTTAAACCTTAACTGTACTCCTTGTGTTATATTTATCAATAGAAACACAAGCATTTCATCAAATGCATAGTACTTAATAAAGGAACTTAATTAAAGGTTTTCTAGACATCTTAATAAAACATATACAGGTAACATGCTGCACCTCTATCCAATACTGTTGTAACTTGTACAAAGAACCCTAACAAGTTGATTAAGCAATATCTACCTTTTCTAACTACAGTGTAGGGATAAGAAGACTCGTGGTAAGAGACATGATTCTTGCAACATGTTGGCATATTTGAAGTGCTCTTTTCAAAGTCAATTTCAATAGTCATGCTTTCAAGTTAAAGAGTACTCAAAAAGATTGGACCCAAAATAAATGTTTTTTTTTAACTGTGTGCACCGCTTTACCATTTTTCCTATGTAAAATTTAAGATTACTAACTAGAAAAAAAAACACAATGAACTTAGTTCAAGTAGGGAGCTGCGTCAGCATGCGTAGGCAAATTTATTTGTGTGCAGTTACTGCTTTCACCTAAAAGTCTTTATTTGCATAAAACATGTTACATAGGATCAGTTGTCTGTGTCTTCAGCTACTGTTGGTGAGCTAGACTGTCACGGCTCTTTTTTGTGCAGGCTTATCTGAATAAAAGAGTCTCCTTGTGTTTTCTCTATGGAATTTGTATGGTCAAGACTGTTATACTCTTATATCTCTTTTTAATGCAAGCAAGTGTTGCTAGATATGAGCTTAAAATCGACCTGCAATACAAATTTTATATAAAATGAAAATTGTTGGCAACGTTACAGTTATAAAAGATTTGTGACTATCTTTGAAAATATGAAGTAATACAATACGATATTGTAAAATTTTACAATACAATATTGTAAAATTTGCAGACAATATACAAACTTACAGAAAACAAGGTTAGGGGTGATAGTGGCCTTTATACCTTTTTAGTGTGAAAAAACCCATACGTACTCATAACTGAGATATGAGTGTTCAAGTTTCACGTCATATGGTACTGATCTGTCTTTTAAAAAAAAATATATAGACAATAATAGGCAATGTGTGGCACAGAGGTGTAAGGCAGCAAACCTAACCACTATTCAATTCCTGGAGTGCTATGTGCTTGGAATTTGTATGGTCTCCCCTTGTTTACATGGGTGTCCTCTGGGTGCTCCTGTTTCCTCCCACAGTTCAAAGACATACTGGTAGGTTCATTGGTGTCTGGAAAAATTGACACTGGTGTGAGTGTGTGTTTGTGTCTGTGGGTACCCTTTGATGAACTGCCATCCCATTCAGGGTGTGCCCTGCCTTGCGGCCATTGCTTGCCAAAAGAGTCGTTTTGGCTCCCTCGTGACTACTGGGTAGTGTGAAAGTGGATGGATGGATGGATAACAGGCAATACAACCAATGAGGATACCACACAATACACTGCAAAGAATCAGCACACCGTGCTCATCTTCAACACCATTAACTTCTGGCAAACACCACTTTAACTCATAAGAACATTGAGTTACAATCTTGAGTCCATTTGGTAATATTTATCCAGAAATTTGTATTAAAATCGTACAATACAAAAAAAAAACACTTAGCGTCCTAACGTGGATTACAACAGATTCGACACTAGTCGTTAATAATAGAGTTGTTTTCAACACGAGCTTCCTACTGTGTAGAGACTAGGCCGGTGAACCGCGGACACTAATAATTAAACGTGATGGTTGTTTATCATGTAGTTAGTTGTTCAAAATCTTTAAAAGGTTTATCTTTTGCTTGTGTGTTTTCCCCAGCAAAGACGTCAAGAGTTTGAAAGTTCAAGGTTATGTTCAGAAGGTCTTGGGCCGTTAACCGTGACGTCACTTCAGTAACGCGTTCTCTCGCTTCGGTTTTGAAAGCGTGACCATCTCGCGCGGGCGTTTTCCGAAGAGATAACTCTCAACTGACACCTTACGAATAGGTCCCGTATCACACGTGTTAAAATTCAACGATTACACAAAAACGTATTTTGATGAACTGTAATTATCAGCAGGAGAACGTGTCACTCAAATTAAAAACATTTGGATTGAAAAACAGCAGCTGTGCAGCCTGCCATGTGTTTGCTCACCCCAAACTCCAACTTCATCCCAATGTATTTGTTACAACAAGGAAAACACATTGAAACTCCTATGAAATGATTAAGTCGTTCATCTCTGAAGGGAATAGCTGACAATAAAATATTGCAAGAGGGGGTACTTCTTTTCTAAATAAATGTATATTTTATGATCTACAAGTAACATGAACTAATCTAGGTACCTTTATGAAAAACAAACATCTGTTGACTTACCCAGTGAGTTGCATAGGGAGTAGCGTACAGGGTAGATGATGTGGCTTAAGGTTTTTGGCCAGCGGGTCATGGATAAACATTTCAGACTTTAGGACCCGGGTGTCTATTTTCCTAGTCTGCTGTCTAACCGCAATTTAGTAACTAAACATACTTTAACAACTATTCAAAGGTGTTAATAAATAAGATGAGAAAACAGCATTGTGCTTCAAACACACCCCACTTTTACCCTCCAAACTTTTTCGTCTGGTTGCACAAATTGAAACAATGTGGCTCACTGAACCCAGCTTGTACTGTATACGTGTCTGACTTTCTAAAAAGTAAGGTAAGAAAGAAAAAAAAAACCTTTTCAAACCATCAAATAAAGCGTGCACTTTGATTTCGGGGGCTTACCTGTCGTAAGATTGTCGTTGATTTTCAAAGGCACTCGCAATATGTAAACCAGAAATAGCATAACAAAGAACCACACAGTCCAGAAGTATGTCCAAGACCAGACGATGCACGATTTCAGCTGATCTAAGAAACCAGTTCCACTTTCGGCCATGTTTTAGAGCTCTCTCCTGCCACAAGCCCTCAGTGTATTGTGGGATGATTCATGCCTGGCAGTTAGATTGAACCGCACTGAAGGATTTGGGGGTAACACTAGCGAGGAAAAGGGGTTTACCGTTTTTTAGCTTTATCTGAAACGTGTTTGCCCGTATGGCTTTGTGGGAAGAGGTCTTCACTGCTTCGTTTCGCTAGGTGTAAAACGGTGAAATACAACAGGCTCAGACAAAAAAAAAATATTTTTTTAAACTACCGTGCGAACACTCATACCTTCCACACAGAACTTGGTGGTTTGCCCCCTGTTTTCTTTCCCTTATGTAACACTTTTTGAGTATGTTTTGTATGACTTTACAGTGCGCACGTACTGTAGGCTACATTTTTCGGATTCCAACTTTCTACGTAGAAAATCGCTTTCTGATACAGAACAACGAATCACGAATTTTGTGTGTTTAGACAATAGTCTCACTGATCTGTGTGCATGTGGTTCATTGTAGAAACATACGTATTGTGGAATCAGTTTAAAATATACGCGCCAAGAAAACACATTTATACTTTGTTGAAGAGTTTTTCTATACAGTATCTCTAAATCAATACTCCACAGTATGTGTAATTCCTGAAGTGATTTGCATAAAGGTACTGTACAACTCGGTAGGCTTAAGTTAAACACAAGTGACAACTACCTTACCTACCCAGAAAGTCAATACATGCCTTTTAACCTTCTAAAACTCTTTTAAAATATTATCACTGACCATTGCCGCCTTAAAATACGAAAAATGTAAGACGCTTTTCCCCCCTATAAGCGTTTAACCTGCAATATCATAAAATTATAAATGGAGATATCAGTGAAAGTGTTTTGCGTTTCAAGTGGAATATGATTGTAGCGTTATACCATCAAAGCAATATGTGGAAGAAGAAGTATGATTTGCAATTTGCAAAAGTAACTATTTGCTAAATATTTTTTTAGTAAGATTTATTTTCGCGGAATGTGCTAGTATTACTGGAAAACTAAACGTGAAGTTATATTAAAGAGTACAACGTTAAATACTGGGAGCCAAAGGAAAATGAAAAAATGGTCTTGAATTTATGCATTATCTTGCTACATTAACTACTTTTACATTATTTTTTCATTATGTAAGTTATTTACGGACTGTTAAACAACAATGATTTTTAAAAGTTTGCTGCTCCTGGGTAAATTCTTGAGTCAATCTAAATGCATACAATCATGAAAATTAAGGGGTTGTGTGAAATTTTTGTGTGAAAATTAAGATGTGTTGGGAAGAATTACAATTACTTGTGAATATGTACGAAAGATTTAAGAGTGTACAGTCTTCAGGTACTTAAAGATGAAGGCACCCGACCACCCTTAGGCGTTCAAAATAGGTCATGAATCACTTTCTTATTAAAGCCATTCAAGTCACATGTCCATTCCTAACAATTCCAGGTGTGTGGCATGTGGGACCAGGCAATTATGTGATTTTCCACTTATTTCCATTTAAAAATCTCTTTGTGAAATGTAATATTTTCAGCCTTATTACCTAATGAGATATTTATACTGCAGACATGTAAAATGGGCTGCAAATAAGAGGCCATTTGATCCATATTGGTTGTTTGGTAGTTTAGCAGACGGACTATTAAAAAAGAAAGATGAATCTAAATCTAAGATTTCTTATAGCCATTTATTAAAAATGCCCAGAGCTTGGGCCTCAAACCACCACTCTTTTTGTAGTTCCAGATGCCCACAACTCTGTATGTAAAGAAGTGCTTTTTATTTTCCATTCTAAATTAGTTCCATTTAAGTTTCCCACGTGACACTGTTTGTTTCATACTGAGTGTGAAGAAGTTTCCATGGGTTGACTATAAACCTTAGGATTTTACATTGAGAAATCCTCTCAATTACCTTAGTCATATACTAAAGAGGTTTATCTCCCTTATCCTGTCTGTTCATGATAATCTGTGGATTTTAGGATTCATTCTGGTTGCTTTTCAGTGAACTCTAAAGTTACAATAATAGTTTCATGGTATTGTGACTGAAACCAAACAAGATTCTAAATAAGGTCTTGCTAATGCATTGTAAAACTTGAGCACAACTTTGCTTGAAATTTCTCACTTACCCAAGCTTTCTGTTCTCTTTTTTATTGCTTCACCACATCTTAGTGAGGATGTATAAGAATGTGCAGAAACACGGATCCCGCTTGTGCATGGCTTTCTGCAGCTCACAGTAACCTATGTGATGTGTAGGGCATGCTCTGACAACCTAGGTGGATCAATTTGCAATAATCAGTGTTAAATTTAATTTGGCAAGTGCTTGTACAGTCTACAATTGGATCTACATCTATTGTAATTCATTTGCTAGTGTTTCCGTTTGCCTGTTTTTGCAGATGATTTTTGCATCGTCTGCAAATGTAACTATTTTATAATTATTTCAGAATCTAAATTGTTGAAATAGATCAAGAAGAGCAATATCCTCTTTGAAACACTTCTTATATCTGCTCCATGTCTCCATTAGAGGTTAAGCCGGTTAAGTTTTCTTAACCATTTCTTAATGCATATATCCATACACTGTGGCTTTTTATGGTTTTGAGAATCAACTTTAAATCAAAAACTGGATCAAAAACTTTATGGAAATCTGAATAGTCACAGTCACTGGTATTATTTACAGTCCTTGTTGCTTGTTCAACAATTTTTACATTACAAATACTTTCCCTTTCTAAATCTAAAGAATGTTGTTGGTTCCTAAAATGTAATTTTGTTCATAATTAACTATGATTTCCATAACATTACTTTATAGTCTTCACACAAGATTGATTGTTCTATAGAATGGGTAAGGCAGTGGATTTCCTCAGTTTTCTCAGTTTATTTAACAGATTAACTGAATAAGCAGTCAAAGCAGCTGTATTATTCAATTCGTAATTGGGAGCTAATGGAAAGAAGATTATGAAATCTGTAAGAACCCAGCACTCAAGGACTCAGGTTTATATATAGTTTATAAATCCCCTTTTTTGGTTATCTATAACACCTGTTGTAGAGCAACTAAAAAGTCTCTCTTGTAATAAGATGATACAGTTAGCAGATATTTTCACGTTTAGAGTTAACCAGCCACTTATGGATCATGAAAGAAAATATTTACAGTAATGAAAAAAATACGGAGTCATGTGCTACTTGTTTAAATAGAAAATCTGTCTTTTAATGCAACATAATTGAGATCGTATTACAGTTCATTCCAAGAGGAAATAAATCACCAAACTGACAGACAAGATTTTAATACAGGTATATATTACAATGTGCCTTGTTATAATACAGTCATGTCTGTTTAACAAAAATAAGAACTTGGGGGCCCATGTAATACAAACGTCTTTTTAAGTAGATAAACATAAGCACGTTTTAAGCAATGTTCTTTGTATTTAGCAAGATGAATAAAGATACAGACCTAATCAGTGAAACCTGTTTGTGTCAGCATGATCATGTTATTTTCAGGTTTTCGAGAACAAGCCAATGCACTCTTTTGCTCAGTAGACACACGATGATGAACACTTACACATATAACAGTAGCTCAAGTGGTGAAGAGGGTGACTGCTTGTGTAAGACTGACAGAATATGAGCCAATAAACAAGTTTTTTTTTACATTAAAGAAACTAATTTTGGAAGATTCCTATTTTCCTTTAAAAAAGTAAATTCTAAACTACACTTAGAATGGGGATAAATTTAAATAATTTCTATTAATATTTTTATGGGGTTTTTTGCATGTAAAAGGTGTGGTCTCACCACCACAGTAAAATTGTGTGGCAAAACAGGCATCTTTTATGTATGAATACATTAAAACAATATATATATTTTTAAAAAAAGAAATTGGGTAATATTTTAGCAACATAAATTCCAAATGCTATAGTGAATGTTAATGGCATTTGTAAAAAATTCTTATTAAAAGTAGGCATCTTAAGTGTAATAAATGTTTTACATTTTGTGAGACCAAACCTTTCATTAATTTAATTTATACAAGGACAAAACAACAATCCAGTCATGCATATTCTTTTTAGGCGTTCTGCATCTCTTTTCCTATCTTGTAGCTCAAGATCTTGTTCCAGTCAATCTTGGTGCGTGTCACTGGGAGCTGTCGGCGTAAGGCTTTGAAAGTAGTGTCCGACATTGTCTGGTAATTTTCATTAATGGCAGTCTGAAAAATTAAAAAACACATGGTTAAGACACTTAAATTTTGCATTGCTCTTTTATTTAGTTTCTGACAAATTGTGCAAAAATATACTAATGCACAGATTGTCTTAATTGTAATTTAATATGGTGTCAATTAGCTTCTATTGAGAGCTAAGCATGACAAGTACAGGTAATTGATAAATGTCACTATTGAATGCCTTAAAATCAGAAAGGATTTATGATGTGGTATGATCACCTGTATATATAGAACAGCTGACCAAAAAATGGAAATGTCAATTTAAAGTCACATTACAGGACTTTGGGGCCACCACGTGCAGCCTTTATAGCTTGCATACACTGTAGCATATAGTCTACCAGTGTGTGGATTTCTGCAGGAGGGACACAACACCATGTTTCCATTAGAAAGTCATCCAAATTACACTGGCGAATGGAGGTGGAAATGCTGTCTCAGGCATATACCAGATTATTTAATCTATCCATTTTCTAACCACATCTTTGAATTCAAGGTTGTGGGGTAGCTGGAACCTATCTCCGCAAGCAAATGATGCAAGGCAGGATACTCCATCCATACACCAGGATAGTCCATCACAGGGCAGACACACAGACTCTCACACCTAGGACCAGTTTTCCCAGAAGCCAGTTAACCTACCAGTACATTTTTGGACTAGGGGAGGAAACCGGAGCACCCGGAGAAGACCCATGTGAATACAGGGAGAACATACAAACTCCCCAGCACCCCAGGTCTGGAATTGAACCCAGGGTACGAGCACTGCGATGCAGTAATGCCAGCTACAGAAATCTGATAAGTTTTCAGTTGAGTTCAGATCTAGTGTGTGATACTGCCATGGCATATAACATCAGTGTCATGCTCATCAGATCTTTGGGATAGGACACTATCATCCTGAAACACAACCCTCCAGGCAGGAAAGAACTGCTACAGCATGGGGTGAAGAGGATCACTCAGTACCGTTACATAGGAATTAGCATCGATCTTGCCTTTTAAGGAAATGTGTGCACTCAGTCTACATATGAGCACCACATGTGTTTGTTAAGCACCATATGAGCACCATTGTCTGTTTAAGAACTTGGTGAGGAATAAGTGGTCCCATATCCCTTTGAGACAACAACTGCATGACCCATTGAGTTCAACAGACTTTGGTAATAATTTGAAATGCTTTAACAAGCCTTTTTCTGTCGTCACTGAGTTTTTTCCTCTTCAGGTTTTCACATTTAGTTTTTCCTTCATTTTATAATAAAATGCATACAAAATTGGACTCAAATCTGGAGATTAACTAGGTACAAATTCCAATTCTCATTTACTAGACTCACCAACAAGCGTTCAGCTAAAAGGCAGCTTCCTGTATTATAAAATATGGACCTAACACAAACTAAAAACTAATATTTTAAAATATCGCAATTTTCTACATCAAGGGAAAAAAGTGAAAAGAACACATCAATGCAGAATAACTGGATTTCCAGCACATCAGTACAGTATATTTTACCATTTAAAAAGTTTCAGAAATTCCAGAAGGAAGTGAAACATTAAAAGTACAGATGAGTTTGTTCACTATGCTCTGAAATGGTATAAGTCATTACTTCTTCCTCAGGACTATTAAATTATTTCAAAAACTGCAGACAAGGAGCAATTAAGAATTACATTAGAAAAACGACCATTAAAGCAATACATTTACAACTTTACAATGTTAATTTTGTCAAATGTCATACAAAAACCTTTACCTGGTACTCATTTTCTGCAGCCTCCATGATCTTAACAAATTCCTTTGCAGTTTGAGATTCATTCTAAAAAGAAAAAAATATGACAGTCAGAAGCCTCTTTAAATATATTACATAAGGCATCTGGTTTTATGATAAACCCTGAGTATTTAAATCTTTCTTAGCAAACATCTTCCTAAGCATCTCTGTTAACATACTTGTGGCACATGAAAAAGGAACATTTGGCTTCTTTTTTCACTTTATCTGCACATTGCCTTTTCTCATTTATTTGAGGATTTCACTGAACCATAGTGGAGAATTGTAAGATACAATGGAAAGCTGCCTGACTTCTTGGGTGGCTGAAGCAAACTCACTCTCCCACAATGGGAAGTGTCTTATTGCACAGATCAAAGCATGATTAATTATTACTGCCTTGATATGAAAATAATGAATAATTTGTGGAGAAAAAAATAGTCAGACTAAATGTTAAATAATAAACTGTAAAAAAAATCAGTTAACACTTTCCCTATTGTTTAGTTACTAAACACTCCACTGTACATGCAATTTGTTAATTTTTTTATGTTACAGAGTTGCTTAAACTTGGTCTTACCTAAATGACAGAAGCCATTTTTCACTGGCAATTCAAGATTCCAAAAATACAACAAATGCCCCAGAAATATACAAGATGCTTTGGTTACCAACCTATCAACCCCCTATTATATTATTCCATGCAAATAACTGATCAATTTCTAATAAAAGGAATAAACATAAATATAACAGCTATAAAATAATAGTGAGTTGAATGTGAAAGGCTGTATTTACTTGAGCCATGTAAACAAAGTCAAACTCACACATCAGAATTGTGAAAGTTAACTGCATATGGCAGCTTATCACATTCAGATGACAAACTGGGCTTACAAATTTGTGACAAAACTCTAATACCAACACAGGCAAAAACAGTGAGCCACCCACAAAGAATGTAGTCCACTATATTACTCAAAGAACTTAGAAACTGGCTAGTGGTTTCTGAGAATAAAGAATGTACATGGACTAATGTATATGCTACATCACCAAATAAAAGATGACACAGGATATAATCACAAATCATTATATCATTACTAATTATTTTTCATTTCTACTTCTTTCATTTTTTAAACTTGAAAGTGCAAGTACTAGAAACTAGACAAGTGCAAGTACTACAAATGTCTTCAAAGTGCCTTGATCTTATTGTTCAAAATAATCTGGTATTCCATAAAATTAGAATCCTTAGCTTCAGATTCTGTTCTTACTTTATTATATGTAAGTGAATTAATAAAACTGAACTATTTTCCCTTTTCTTAAGTATATAACTAATCAAGCTGGTATGCGAGAGTCAGACCTATGATACTGAACTGACTGTGACATACTCACAGAAAGAGACATGGATTCCTGGACATCTTTATGGCTCACTAGCTGAACATTGCCATCTTCATAGTAGTGAACCTATAATTAAAACAACAAGCTATTTAAGTTAGGGAAGAATTAGCGTATTGTGATATTTCTGTTTTTCTGAGTCATGCCCTTTAAAGTACACTTTTAAGACAATGTGCCTGTAGTACTTAAAATGGTTTCAAGCATGAATTAAAGCCTGTCACCACATTTTTAAATTGTATAACATACTAGAATTAGATTTTCCAAAAGGTCAGTTCTGCTCTGTACAGACTGACATGCACAAATAGATCATTATATAATGAATGTATAGAATGTATTAAAAACTCTCCAGGATATGTTACAAGATGTTGCTTGTTCTGGTAATTCTAAACAAGCATGCACTTCTGCACATGATAGACTACGAAACTGGTATAAATGTTTCAAACTCTTTCATGCTGTAAAATCCTGAACTTTGGCAAAACGAGTTGCTCAGTATGTTTAAACAGATACCTGAATTTTCATAATTCCTACTACTTGGGTTGTTGATGGGGTGACTGTGAATTTCCATTCTGACCTCCAGCGTCCATTCCTTGAACAACAGAAAATCAGAGTTTTAAAAACTTTAAAAAACTCCAAAGTTGATGAAATCCTTCACAGTAATGCTTGTTCTAAACATAATTATACAGTTATACAATACAGCTGAAAAACAAAGCTAAAATTCTGGTACCAGTAGACTTATTGAGAAGATCACTGTAAGCATTCAGCTCCTTAATTAATAATCTTAATCCTTAGATTAGGACCAACGTGGTGTGGATCCACCCCTGCTCAGTATTTTTTAGCAAAATGTTTGAAGAACCCAAGACACCAGCCCATTCCAAAGGGATGATACAACTGGCAAGAACCTAAGCAGCTTTTCTAGGCCCTTAAGGCAGTTAAAAATACCCAAAAATACGGTAATTAAAAGAGTGGGATTAATCATGATCTCAGGCTAATCCAATTCTGTTAAATCACAAACTAATTTTCTGCCACCTTAGAATACCTATATTTAACAGAAACCACCAATATGCTCTAACAGCGATCAGAGCATCCTGAGTGAGGTTATTTAGCCAGCCTTCAAGGGGATGGGATAGAAGATAAATTAGGCCTAAAGGGACAATAAATAGGACACACACTAGAGAAAAAGGGGATGGATGATCTCAGAGGAGAGTGGAAGCAGAGCTAGGGAAGTGTTTTTCCTATGTTGTCACGTATTGTTTTATATACTGATTTCTTATTTGTGGAATCCATAGGCTAAGGTGCATCTCTTTGTAAGTGATGCCTCGTTTTGAAATAGGAAAATTGGTACCCAATTTAACATTCATTTTCTAGAGAGTTCTGGACAGGATGCTTAATAGGATGCAGGTTTCAATTAAGGTAAACTGCAGTTCAATTTTAGACAGACATTGTAGGTATTTTCTGTGTCTGCAGAAGACAGGACTCTATAAATCTGTGTGTTACCAAAGATGTGTAATAACTATTAACATTGTCATATATTTCTGTTGCAAGTATACAAGTATTCAAAACCCTCAAGGACATTGGCCAAGTCATCCCAGAGGATTTATTCAGAATGAATAGTGACACAAACCAAAGGGCACCAAGTGGAAACTTAGTGAAAGTGCATTTAAAACCCAAGAACTAGAGGCACTTGTTCACCTAACAAATTGTGGAAGTATCAATCAAGCTACTGTGCCATAATGTTTAAGCCAATACACTGGAATTATTCAAAAAATGGCCGAAGGAGATCCTTGGATCAATTAACTACTAACTACCAAACAAGCTAGATGGGCTGAATGGCCTCCTCTCCTTTATAATCTATAATCCTTTAAAATTACACTATTTTAGAAAGTGAAAGAAAATATATTTTCTAAAGGTAACATATTTCATGCATAAACACTTAAGATTGTTTGGCATACATATAAATGACAAAGAATAACATTAAACACATTGTACTTGTATTACCTGTATTTAAGTTAAAATTATACCAAGTCATGTGAAACCTAAAGTACAGTCAACAAATGCTATTTTCAAAGGTGATATAACAACTATCAAAGCAAAATAAATGTACATTTAGGTTATAATTTTGAAGCATTATTTAAGTTATTTAATGAGAATTATTAAGCTTTGGTGCTGTATTTCCCCAGTTCCTTATACTTGGATTAAGAATGTTTCAAAAAATGGCAAAACAAGTTTGTATGACTGATGAGCTGCTGACGGTCGAACCAGCACAACAGACAAATAGCCTTCCCTCATGTGTATAACCTGCCTAATGTTCCATGACAAACAGATAATGGCAATTCCATTATTATTACTAATAGCAGTGAGTCTCTGGGGGTGTCCACTGCACATCCAGAAACCCCTCACAAGGGAGCAAGTGATCAGCCCAGGATGTACTAGAGCATTGTAATTAAATTATACTACACTTCATTATTACATTCCATCATTGTTTTCTTTACCTTGGGTTCATACATTATTTTAGCTCCATATAAGTAGTTGTTTTAGTACTTTTGCAGGGATAAATTGAAATATGAGAGAAGGTAAAACTTACCAGAAATTTTTTGGTTGAAACTGATGGCACTCAATACATACAATGATAGTCTGATGTCCATCAATAGTTTTCCCATAAACCTAGAAGCAAAGTTAACTTGCACAATGAGTATTTTAATAATAAAAGCCTTCTATTAGCAACAAATATCTAAACGTGCAGATAGTATAAATATGATTCCATGTATAAATTGTGATTGATTCTTATGAATAACTGTACATTCAAGGTGAATTAACAAATTTCAGGAAGGGGTGTCAATGTCACGAATTAATGTCTCCAACTATAACTAGCTAATGAAGTAAATGAAGTCTTACCCTCCTCAGCAAATATACTCTATGTAAATAGAGAATGACATTTTTAATTTGAGATTACCAGATAACTTCAAATATCAAAAAGGTGGTACTGTTAAAAAGCATGGAATGAAAATGTAGGTTGTACATACATAGGCTTGCAATAAGCCATTTCTCATCAGGTTTGTATCCACATAAAATCTGGGGTTTTAAAATGTGTTTTATAGTAATGTTATAGTGGAATTTATTTAAAATAAAATGATTCACTTTTCCCCAAAATAAACACATGCAAAACATACAGATATATAGAGATAGAAAAAAAAATCTACTGGGTGAATCCCATATGACCAATCTACAGAGAAAAAGACTACTGTTCTGTTTGGTTTCTAATGAATTATTTATTCAAACACCATGAATAAAATGTTTGGATTTCCAATTCCTTATAACATAAAAGGTCTTTTTATCTGTAAAGTCAATGAAATGAAAGCTGAATATTAAAACTGGCTGAAATGCTTGGTATATGCATGAGCTGAGAGACTCGGATTGAAATGATTCAAAGCTCATACTCACAGTGCACATCCCGTTGGGGTAATGCTCCTTCACATAAGCCCTGACCGCATTGTCCACAGCACTCCTCCAGGACTCCACAGCGTTATCTACATCGTGAGAGCGTGGGTCACTCGCCTCCTTCCGTAAATGGTCAAACTTGAAGGAAATCTTGTTCTTTGGATCCAGGATTCTGCCATTTCCCAGATCACCATGTTCTGTTATTAAGACCTGTGAAAATCAACTTTCAGTTTATCATCAATTTGTCACAAAACGGAATTAAACATGTGCTTCCTACATTTTTTTCTGCTAATACAGTGCATTATCGATGTGCAAGCAAAACCATTTTCGTGGACAAGACATTAATTAAAGTCCACTCTTTTTCTTACCTGATCATCGTACCCATCGATTTTTACTGGAGTAAACTGGTCCACATTGTACTGTGCAAATGCACTACAGAAAAAAAAAAAGATGTTTAAAATTGTTACTTTCAGCTTTAAAAAGATACAAGAATGGACTTAAAATCAAAAGAGCTTATCTAAAAATATTCAATTTTAAGTTTTAATTTATTAGAATATTTAAGTGATAGGTTTCTGTATCACATAAATACAAAACCCTAGTTACAGATTGTGGAAAACAATATGTTTTCATTTCTTATTTTTATTAGGAATATTATTGATTCTACTGACCATTAAAGCAACAAATGTGTAAATGTGATTTTCATAAATAAAAGAATGATGTGGGACAGTTGATAAAAAAATGCATCAATATACTCACTGAAAATGTTAAAACTAATAAGAAATTATTTTTTGAAAGATGTGGGGTGTGAAAATGCATAAGCTATCAATACTTACTGAGCTGCACCTTCCCTGAGAAGATTATCATTGTTAAGCAGCAATCGCACATCTGTAAAAAGGAAAATGTTAAAAATCACTAGAATATCAAAGTGCTATAGTGATTACACAGTAATATAGGAAAAGCACCTCCTTACCAAAGGTTTAAAAATGGAGAATCCTAAAAATCAGATAGAAAGCACTGTAAACAGTGAGTTTAAAATCAAAGGATTTCAGGACAAGGATCATCAAAGTTTTTTCATGAGCTAGGCGGCTCCTGAGGCAGTAAGGTATTCAAGGTAATTCAGTCCCATGTTCACAATTTTGCTCTATATACTGTCAATAAAACTACTAAACAGAAATCATTAAAACTGGTTATGACTGCCTGCCAATTGCATTTTAGACCAGTCATCTACAATCCTGTTGCTGGGAAAGGTAAAGAGATTATCTAAATCCCAAAAAGAACCTTTAAATACACAATATAACTCATCCAAAAAAACACTGTTCCAGAAAAAGTGGTACATTTGGGGAATGACCTTTTCTTTTAAACCCACCTCCACCCCCCATAAAAACTTTGGAGGACTTTTTTATTTTTTTCTTATTAGACAAAAAAAATCTTACATTCACAAAAAAATAAACACAACAAGAAAAAAAGATTAATTCACAAACTTCCTACTGATATTCTTAACATCCAGTGCCATTCAAGTAAGTCTCTAATGGGTCCCAAACATTCCTATACTCATTAGGTTTTCCCTGTTAATTATATGAAATCTTTTCAAATGGGAAATGACTTAAAAATGCGAATTTGAAATGTTTCCTTCTGATGCCATGTGGAATTAAAATCATATCTTACTATTCAATACCTATTTGTGCCAAAACACACCTTACCTCAATTTCCTGGCTTGACATTTATTTCCTAGAATGTAAATGTCTCAAAATGACCAGAGGAGGGTTTCAGTAAAAACTGTCCTTTCATTCTCTGACAAGTATATGGCATAAAAAAACACAGATGCAATATAACAAATTCATATTGTGGGTTAAATAGTAAATGCAGGATGTATTAGCAACTAATATATGGTAACTACAATTAAATATGCATATAATTACAATGGTTACCAAAGTCTGTTTATCTACTTAGTTTAAAGACTTAAAGCTTTTAATACTCTTATTTCTGTGTGATTTGTGGAACAAAAGTTTTATAAACATCACAATGGTGCACTAACCTATTTATTGAGAAAATCAATGTTATTGACAATGAAGTCTATCAATAATCAAAATGAGACCACGCTGTTAGAACAGGACAAAAATGTAAGTAACAGTAAAGGAGCTAAAAAAAGGTCTGGAAAATATGCAGTGATTTCTTAGTAATAATGTGCATTTCTGTTAGTCACATGCAAAGCAGAGTAGATGTATGAGCACATTAGTCAGGTCCACTTTACCTCACTGTGCATACAGTGAGACTTAAAAAGTTCATACTCTTTTGTGAAAGAACAGCCAAGCCAAGTGGACCATGCACCCAGCTCCAGCCACTGGTTTGGTCACAACTAATACCTGTTAGTGTGGGTTTTGAGCTATTAAATTTCAAGTCAACAGTAAGACTACAGTAAGAGCAAAATATTTTTTTAACCAAAGCATAACAATGAAAAAACTAAGATTTATTACAATAAAAGACACAATAAGACAGGGAATGAAGCTGGTAAATATGCAGGTTAATATTACTGGTAAAAAACTATGCACTGTCACTACATAACCGGAATAATAGATTCTAACAGGTAATAAATGTATTGAACACATTGCTGGGGTACTGCACCTATCTCTTGATGAGGAAAATGTTAGGTTGGAAGATTGTTAGTTCAGTTGTTTAATATTATGATGTAAGGGCTGTGGGGTCTAAACAAGCTACCCAGCTTTGTTGTTAAACATGTCTTCTTTCAAGAAAAAGCAGGATGCGATCCTCCAATCTATTAGCTACTAAATGGGCCAGATGGCCCCCTCTACAATCTGTAACCTTTTCTGTATTTATAAGAAATAATACAAGCAAATATGCTTTGTATGAGAAGCAAACTAAATGTATTTCTTCACCTCTTCATGTTTTAGAAGGAGTGGGGAGATGGGGAACTAAAACATTCTGTTCAGCATAGTTGGATTATGATGAGATGCAATTAAAAGATGGAAAGGCAGTATTCAGAATACCAAGTCTATCAGAAGTCTTTGGTGTATCAAAATGCTGAAAAAATTGTTTTCACCTACAGAAAACAAATAAATGCCGAACGTAATGTTAAAAACCATCCAAAGCAACAAGACCGTCAACAACAAGACTTTGACAGTCATTATGCCAAAGCAGGCTAGTAATGCAATAGACTTCTGGAGCCTTATAACAGCTGTTTTCACACTGCCTGTAGCAGAATGACTTATGAGCTAGACCCTCAATTCGGAACAAACGACTATTAATATCAATCTTGCGTTGCTAGCATCTCCTGACTTTAAGTCCATTAGGAGATCTCAATACCAGCTTGTGGGCTGTGTAACAGTGGCTGAATTTTTAAAACAACAATATCCTGACGTTTTGTGCTGAAATTAAAGCAAATTTAAGATATTTCATTCTTGCTACACCATAATGTGCAATCACTCACTATGATTTATATCTTAATGATTATCACGCTGGCCACACATTTGTTTTTGAAGTTCATTACAAATTCATCAATAGTTGCAATTGAAAGGGAACACGAATTGTTCAGCTTAAACAATAACATTTCTTTAGTCTATAATCAGCTGAAAGAAATGTAAGAAGTGGGAGGCTGACTTTGACGAGATTTGTGTGTTGAAGCATGAGCAATATGCAAGGGCAACACAGAGGACAACATTTTCTGTGTACACAAATTATAAACTGAGCCCTGGAGATAGTCTGAGAAGTTTTGGGTCTCTGAGAATGTTCTAGAAGCTTCAGGAATGCCTCTCAGGCCTGGACAATACAAGTACTCAAACTGCAAATGGAGAAACTGTGGATGAGGAGGTTGTGGTGTACACATTATTATTATTATTATGACAATGCAGAGCATACTAAATAAACACAAAGAATATCCCTGAAGCGGGGGGTACAGATTTTTGTCATAACTTTTTTTTATTTGAGTACTATGGATCCTCACTTTGCAGAGGTTTGAGATCCTACTATAACAGAGTTAAGGGAACTCTGGCCCCAACAGGGCCGAAAGGTAATCCACTGATTTCTAAATTTAACAAAATTTTAATTTAACAATTAATGGATTTAAAAATTACTTTCCCACAATTAATGTGGGAAATGGAGTTAGAAATATAAATAAAAAAGAATGTCGTCATGATAAAGAGGAAAAAATGCTTTTGATCTCTTATATCAATAGAAGTGAAAGTGAAGGAGAATAAAACAAGTAACAGTGAGCATCTGTTTCAGGTGCCGCTGGCGAGTGCAAATAGAGAGGATATAACAGCACCAGTCTTAACACCTGCTGTAGGGGTACTATATAGAGTACAAAAGAAATTAATGAATCACCAGAACCAAAATGTTTCAGAGAACTCCAATGGCAGTTCCATTCTACACAAATCAACTCATCTGCATCTCAAGTACTGCACGTGAGTTTGGTTTAAAATAAAACATTATTCAAGCTCAGACCAACTTTCATATTTCTAATGTTAGCTTATCATAATTCAGTGGCTATTATTCAGTCCCAGATCAGCAGTAATTAAACTATATGACGTCACTGGATTAAATCAGACCACGTTATCTAACCCACGTTATCTAAAAAGACTGGTGTACCGGAAACTCTTGTCCACTGTACAAAATTAATCTGTAATCTTCAATTCAGTGTAATTATCTGAACTGTCAATAAAACTAAAAGCTTTTGAAAGGTGCTGTAGTACTGATGCTGGACTATTATGGATAGCAAGATGCAACATTTCTCGTGTGCAAAAATGTTAAATCCAAACTCACCGTTGAAAACTTCATTGAATTCTCCAGGAGGAGCATGAATGACAAAGTTAGCAGCTATGCGAACCTGCAATGATACCAGAAATGAACGTTAAAATACAACAGGAAACCCACTGCAACAGTGTGGCCTCACATAGTAACTCTCTACATATTTTTATTTCTTGCTTGAGTCAAAAGCATTTAGAATAGCAAGAGCTGTCTTGCCATAAATACATTTTGGAATTCAAATTCAGATCTGAGCACTGCAGAAACATCCTAATAATATTGTTTCCATTTTTTAAATCTATATTGTGGAATCAACTTCTCATGTACAAATTAATATAAACTACATACAGGGTTTAAAATTTTTTATTTTTGTTTTAAATATTTTTTTTAAATAAAAATATTTTATTAAGAACTGTTCTGAAGTCTATCTCTACCTGATGAAAACGCACCTTAAAAAAACCAACAAACCACGTAATTACTAATGCACTATTGCATTAATTTTGATATATATGCAACATTAGATTGGTCTTCACGTGCATGGATTCAGACTACATGTCAAGAAATAATGCAGGTCAGTCTTTGGGATCTTCATAAAACGACCTGTCTCTGCAGTAAGCAATGCTTTAAGACTAGCTCTATCGGCGCAACACACACCACAGTAACCATTGTTACCAAAAAGAGGTACCTAACCAAGAACATTCTCCAAACCAAAAGTCTCTGAACAACATAAATGATAATAAAATGGATTCTACCAAATTTCTGGTCACAGGAATACTAAAGATTATTTACTTAAATTCACATTTTATACGTCAATATAATTATCTTTCTAGAAAATCATAAACGGTTTATTTTTTAAAGATAGGAGCCTATCACCGCTGTTCTAACAAAGTACATACATTTTCTTAGGCACCAGGGGGAGATTGTTTTCATCTGTATCCTTTGTCTGACATTTATGTTTGAACCCAAATTAAATAAAATTGAAGAATTAACCTATTCAAATGCTGTAACAGAAAAAGAGGCAAAAGAATATGGAATGTTCACTCAAGTGTTTTCTCTTCCTTAATTTGTAAACATTTCTAAATAATAGATACACTCAGCCTCGACATTTCTTCCCAAAGTATCTTAGAAAATGTCTCGGTCCTGTCACTCGCTGGAAATGTGATTTTATGTGATCCTTGAAAAGGGTAGCAGAAAAAAAGAAAATCAATCATTTGCCTGGAAGAAGGAAAAATTACAGTATTAACTCAAGAGAAATATGTACAGCCTAGCGTAAATAAAAATGGATTTTCAACTGTTTTGTCCACAAATTTTACTGAGAAGCTTGTGAGCACTTCCTGTTTGCAACCACATCTGAAACTGACAAGTGTTGCAGTGACAAGCTCTCCCTGTGCTGTTCATTACCATACATGGGCATGAAAATGTGCAAGAGAATCCCTTGGGTTGCCTGAGCCCCAGGGCAGACAGACGTCTTGCTGGATGTGGTCTGAGTGACAACTAGTTGCTGCAATTACCTTCTCCCTCACGAGCATCATTCATTTCATATCTGCAGAGGCTGATTAGTCCACTGATATCACAAAAGAAAACAGTCAGAAATAATTCATGCTTGTCTTGCACTGAGGGTAAAGCTGTACTGTAAACAAAACAAAATGCTGTAAAAATTAGATATAGAATAAACCCTCAATTTAACTGACTAATTGGCGGGGAGGGATGAGTCTGTTATTGCTGTCAAATCACAAAAACAATTATATGAGAAATATATACACATATGCCTTCTGGGTTTTTAACTTATTTTAACAATTACAATCAACAGTCAATAAAAACTGTTCATGTGCCGTAGATATGTATGAAATTCACTAAAGCACATGAAACTAAAACTACAACCATTGTAAGCAAATGAACTACCCTATAGTTTGCCATTTATATTCCCAAATCTTAAACCTATGTGGTATATATTTTTACCTTGTTTTATTATTTATACATTTTGCGGGGAAAGTCAGATATTTCTGATTTCGCAAACATAATTCTAACAGTGTTTGTCAGTTAAACCTGGAGTTTAATGTATTTGAAAGAAATGACAACTCATTTCAATACTGATACCAGAACAACTTACAAAACACACATGTATTTGTTATACATAATACATATGTACTTTTCAATTTTCACAAAACACCATGCTCTAAAGCACTGTGCACCATCCTGCTACTCAATGTGCTGCCTACCAAGAATTTCTCTCTCGTTTACTGGACTTTTGGAGGCTTTGCAGTCCCAAACCTAGGCCGTGAATGGGCTTCCAGCACTCACACTCGAAAAGACTTTCAGTACAGCAGCTCTACCTGCGCTTTGATTAAAGGATTTCCTCTGTGGAACATTCACTTTCTGTTGTAAATCTGAATGTTCTCGCCTTAAGTTAGAAGTGCTGATAAAACTCATCTATTTGCCTAGATGGATTTGTGAAACCAGGCTACCAGTTTCACAAAATGCATCATTTCCCCGAAGGTAGCTTTTTTACTTAGAATAACCCGAAATGTCATTGCCCGTACAGTACATGTCAACTGCTGAAGCAGGGTGTCCGTGCTGGAAGACAGACCATGCAGCCTCCTCCTAAATTCACAGTACCAGCTCAGATCTCCTCAAGCCCCAGAGAGCCATTCTCTGTACAACAAGTTTTAAACATCTGCCACAGTCCCCTTACTGCTAAGTTCCTGCCAGCTAAAAGTACTCCCCTATTAAGAAAAAAAAAACATTGCATTCCACATTGTTTATCATGTGGCACAGAAAGCATCAAAGAACTGTTTTAAAACATTTCCTCTTGAATATGGTTTTAGAAGAGATGGAGAACGGTTTTTACTTGAGCCCAAAACCTATGCATGTAGAGTCAAACTGGGAAATGAATAATGGAAACAAACATTTCTTACTCCAGTAGTGTTAATAATTACCAATGGTCCTGTATGAACGTCAGTATTGTTAAATAGATTTTATAATGCTTATATTACTTATGATCATGACACTGCCTTAAATGTCACATAAGGGAAACATACAGAACATTTTGTAATGCATAGGTTAAGTCTTGAATCTGTCATTACTGATTTCCTCACTCTGGTTTGTTGTTAGGGTACTGCTAACTTTAATTTAAAATGAAAAGCCTATTTTTACATGTGGAGGTTTTAACAAGTCACCAGAAACAAGCACGTACTGGAGATTTAGTGCCAGCAGCAAGAAAGATACTTCCCACACCACAAGCCTATAAGTGTATAAGAAGTCACAGGGGTCACTGTATCACCAGCAGCCCTGCCAACCAATCCCACTCCTACCCTCAGCACTGCTCAGCCAATCATGTGCCACAACTTGGGCCTGCTGGTCACAGCTGGCTAGTCACATGACTCAGGCTTGAACCCTCAACATCGGAATCCTTAAGTGCAACCTGCCTTTGGCAGCACCTTCAGTGGGAATATGCATAATCTTAACAATACTCCTTCAGCATAGCGATTAATTTTAAATCCCAGTTTTAATGATATTTACTAAAGGGATTATCTTCCAACAAATTGCCATCATATCAAAGGCCATTATCTTCTGTACAAGAGTACACACTTGTTCAGCCTAATTGTCTGTCTTGTCTTTTAATTTGGTTTGGAACAATACTTTTTTTTTCCCCCATATACTATGCACTGAACTTTGCCCCCATTGTTTTCTAAAATGAAAACAATCACCTCTGTTCAAAAAAATCATTGACAGCTCTTGAGCTTAAACACAGACTGATGCAAGCAGAAACATACTTCCAGTTCTTGTTTGGTAGTGTAAGTACTCTGTAAACACTTCATGAATTCCAAACTGGTGTGAGTCTCTGAAGTACTCTACAGATGATGTATCTGTGCACCTGAAATAAATGTTAAAAGGCTAAAACAAACTGTTTTTTTTTTCCAGAAAATGAAACCTTCTTAAAACACCTAATATGCAAAATATAAATAACTCCATTCCAAAACAATTTGATACTTTTCCCATGAGAGCTGCACCATGTATATGTACCCTACTTTACTATAAATATACAGCTGCATTACCAGCACATGTGGAATCTGACGTTTTGTTTCTGCAAATCTGTTGACTTTCATACAGACAAATCATTTACTATTTCCTGTCAGATCAACTAATGTGTATTTTGTGTAAAACATCATGAGTTGATGTTTTGGGTGAATAGCACATCTTACACTGGCAGGAGAGTGAAGAATTTGCTCTACTTGTGAAAGGTCTAACTCTTATGCTCTTGAGCTTTCAGTCTTTTCTACTCTAATTCTGAGTCAGGAAGTGGAGTCCATCCTAGTTCCTTTGCATACGTTCATAATTACTACTACAGATGTTATATTTAGACTATTCAAGGACCTTTTGCCTTTTCATTTGGCCTTGAATAGTTTGTAAATTGCAATTATTCCTTGATAACCACAAAAAAATGTTCTTTGTAAGCACAACTAAATGTTTGATCCAAATTAATCAGAAGGGACGAAAAATACTTTCCTACATAGGCATTTAAGCCACAGATGAGGTAATTTAGAAAATGGAATTTAATGGGCTTTTCTTTTAATAATAACAGTTATTTAAATGTAATGCAAGTCTGTACCTATTTTTTGTAAAACATTAAAATGCTTATTTCTTTATAATCTGATGAGAAATATTAAACACAGACAGTCCATTATAAAAAGGAAAATAAAGGTATTATAACTGTAAACATAGGTAATGTACGTTGAGTGTTTTATAGCTCCTGTCCCACAAGAGTGCATTTGGAGATCAGATTGTGCCTGATCTCATTCAATGATTGTACTCCAGGCACTGTGAAGGTCTCAAAGTGACAAAAATATAGATGGCTCAGATAGCGCTCGCTTCACGAATGCACATACTGTCCCTTGCCTTGCCTGTCCTGGTAAAAACGTCCTATCCAAAAAAGCTGGGTTGACCAACAATTGCCAATTCCAATTTTTACTAAAAGCCAGTAACACCGCAATACCCGCCAAGTTTGATTTACAAGACAGACAGACGAGTGGTTGGAACCAGAGGTTTATGGATCTTTGCGCATAAGACATGCACTGAGTGTGTCCCAAGTTCTATATGACTAGATAACTAAAATGGTTGAGAAAAGTCACTGGTTGTTTTACCTTGATTGTCATTCCAAGATCATTCCGAGTCATACTGAGGTATGTCATACCTCATATTAAAAACTGAAAAGGCATCACACAGCCAGCTAATGTATACAAGAACTGAACCTCTTTGTCAGTGACACCCAGTTATAAATATTTCACCATGTTAGCTTGCCCAGAGGCTGGTAGTTGTAACTGGAGCAAAAATGCGTCATGTCTTACAGGTCAAATGTAAATGGAATCATTATGGTACAGACTACTGCGTAATTATATTGTAAACTGAAAAGGCATGAATCATTTTTTTTTACATTGACATATAAAGAAATGGTATTTACTTACTACCATCACCACTTTCTATATTTATAGGGTATTTTTATAGGTTTGGAAAAAATGTTTTACTCTTGTTTCTTATTTGTTATGTTTAAGAGAAAAATTTAATTTAAAAATATCTGAAAAGTATATATCTGGAAAAACACATGATGAAAGTGTTCTTTAAGGTATTGAAGCAAAACGTTCTGTTCTACAACATTTATTCCTTTGACCATGCTAAATAACCTTCTATTCGAAAACCTGTTACCCATTCTGTCAAAGGGGTCCTTTCTGATGCTTCTGATATATTATGCCACAAAAGGCATTTTTCAAAAAAAAGTTCCAAATCTGAACCTCTGCTCTGTTAGCAGAGTAGAGGCATGTCCACACATGATCAAATACTTGATACTCAAATGCTCACTTTTCTTTTGTCTGGAAGCCACACATTGTTTTGACATGAATTAAACCCATACAGGAAATAAGGCAATACTCTGATTTTAATCTTAATAATGCCACTTTGCACAAATGATTAAAAACTCTGCCCATTCTTCAAGCATATGAAATGTTATCACCTATTCATATGCAAAATGATTAGAAGCTGTGAGCATCTACAATTTTAATTTAACCTCTATTAGTTTACAAAAAAGTTTATCCTGTGGTAGCGTTTACAGTAGAATTAAAAATCGTGTAACTAAATGGGAATTAAACTGATGTGCTTGTCTTGAAAGAACACCAGAAGACGGACACAGAAATGTCACAGACATTGTAAGGTGAGTTCACACAAGCATGCTGGGAAATTTCTGGTAAGATTCCAAAGACTATGGCAGAACACTTGTTCGAAACAGCAGGGGGTATTTCTCACAGGAGGACAGATGCACTACTGTGATGGCAAAATCAATGAGTACCATCACTTGACTGATACATCTATATTAATGCCTGAATGGAAAAAAACAAAAGCAACACAATAAAAATGTTGTTCATGAATATTGCCATTTCCAGAATACGCCTCTGCACGTTTCCACAGGAAGAAACATAGCAAGGTACCAAGTCTTATCTATCCAGTCTGGAAACAAACTCAGCTTTTGAGAGGGTACAAGTTAGGATTGCAGGAATGTAAGCAATAGCCCTTACATTAAAAAAAATGACCAGAATCAGTCTTCTTCTGGGTTACTACGGATAGTGTAAATGCATCTATAGTCAGTGTTTGGTTCCCTGCTACATATTATGGAAGAATTGTTTCCTAGTGCAGTAATCTGTCTACCACAAATGCTAAGCTATATGGTCTTAGTTATAGTGAAAGGTTTCTCTTTAAAAAAAGGCCAACAAAATTACGGTAAAGACTAGATATCCTAATCAGTTTTAGCATGTAAGAACATTACATTTTTTTTAAAGGACAGAATCTTTCTGCACACATTTTCTTTGAATTTCAACTAGTTTATCTGGTTAACACAAAGGCATGATGAGGCCATTCAAGTTAAATTAGGTACAGCTTGTGTTCAATTAGACTATGTGCAGAATTGCATTATGTGACTCGAATTAATTTCACACGGCACTGAGACAACACAGCTATTGACATTCTTGATGACCCAGTTACACCAAGGGTGGATCCGTGGAGTTGTGTTTTTCCATCTCTTATTCCTGTTATTCAACAGCAGAATGTTATGAAATATGGAAAGGTACCCTTAACATGGCATTCAAAAATGTTTGGGCATAGTTTACAAAGGATAAAACACAAATAGTCACAGTAATTCCTTCAGAGAAAAAGTACTATAATCTGCCAAACAGTTCACCACCACTGTAGTCAGTTATATCATGCTATTAAGTGAATGATTTAGCTTTAGCGAATGTTTTTAGTGGGAAATTATCATCACTGTGGTGACTGTTACATTTCTGTCGAATATTTTACCTTTCATTTCCATACTGAAGAGTCCCAAATGTTTTCAGGTCACTAATGTGTGGTATTTGTTGTTGCTGAAGTGACATTGCTGCACTGAAGGATTGTGAACTCAACAAAATGTCAATGCCAAGACATAAACCCCTAAGTGCACAAGATACAAATAATAAAACTGTTGGCTTTTGACAAAAAAAAAACTTCAGTCACCAATGAACTATCCTTCTAATTTTTAGGCATCACTCATTTCAGTTTGACTTTCAATCACCCCACAGAAAAAAACAAAACATAAACAACTAAAAGGCTAAAAAACCAAGTGTGCTTGTTCATTAGTCAGCAACTTAATGTAGATTAATTTCACTCCATGAACGTTACTGGTCTCCACAGCTGGGTTTAAAACTCTTGATGTCATATTAGTAATCTTAATCTTTACAAATAAAATCTTACAACACAGATGTACTAGGTAATGAGGGAGACTGTACTGTGCACTAAAACAGTGATACAATATGATCAAGAATTTATATTTAATTCTCATGCATAATATAAAATACAGTCTTTTAAAAACTTACAGCAAAGCACTTTTGCCTCTCTGATGTGTTCTATTCGAAAGACTGCAGTATTTCTAACTAGTCTTAAGTAACCTTAGCACAAGTATAAATCTAGAAGTGTTACAGCATTATACAAGCTGCATCAATTTCTTGGTGAAAAGCCATAAATAGTACAAATCAACAGCTTGGGTGATTTTACAGAAAAAAACTGGTTATCATATACAGCTTTAATGCACAGCAATGCAATTTGAGTAATTGATTTTAATGTGCACAGAGTAGTGTTCCTTTAGATTAGATTTCGATTAATATTAATAGAGATGGACAGAGTTGGACAGAGACGGGCAGCCAAATGCATTCTGAGGTCTAACACTGACAGCCTCAAAAGCACTGACAAAGTCGACCCAGTGAATTTCTTCAGGGGATCTTAAATGTTTATTCAGCAAATTCACTCACTGTTTTTATTTAAGGATACTAGCAGTGTTGGTTAATCCCTAAATAATACTCAGTGTCATAAAGACTTTTCTGATAAGGGGAGGTGCATGTGATGCTCAGAGCCCAAAACAAAAAGGTACTAAATTCCTTGAAACCTGTTTAGTCTTGTCTCATACTGTGACTATACATTCATACCAGACAATTCAAATTCTTTATGGGAACTAAATGGCTTTTTAGTTCTGTTAAGGGCAACTCCAAATGAAGACCTGACAACTCAGTCACTGCCAGGATTCTTAAACATGTTGTTTATTCTACATTTATTACATTTATTACACCTTTTAACAGTCAGATGGATTCTTGTTTTTACAATACACTGCTGAACAGCTAAGAACTTGTCATCTTGCATTTACAATCCTACTGGTGAAGCAGGCCAATAAAATCTAGTTTATTTCGAATGATACATCACTGACTGCTACAAACAAAGTAGAGAAGTCTGCTTTATAGCTGCCCACATTTCACAATAAATAACCAGGCCGCGTTAAATGCATTTACAATCCAAGAACCACACTGCAAGAGCGAAATATAGCGAACTCCGCTTCCAGTACCCTAATTAAATGGATGCTATCACAACACATTCACCGCATCATTTCTTGTAAATTGAGGGGATGGGAAGTTACACAACTCCGCAAGTATAATCCGGCAGTTACCTCTGTACCATTTACCTTACTACAAGTTTTTTTTTTAGTTTGCGAACCATTATTTCGCAGCACCCTTTCTAGTACCCTAGAGGCTGCTAAGCTTTCCTGAGGGCCCGTACAGCTGCACCGCGGAGAGCGCCCTTACTAACTTCAACAGCAACACTGCAATTGGAAAACCTGCAGCACAGTATGGGGCTTATTCCTCCCGGCTCTGGTTCTTATTGTGCAAACTCGAGCAGTAATAAGCAAGCAGCGCCAATGGCAACAGGGCGTGTACTAGTAAATACATATCCTGTGTGTGCGAAATGATCACAGAAAAACAGGTCAGACATAAACGCAAATTGTATGACAGAAGGATAACAATGCATACTACCGCTTTAGGAACTGGAGCAACTATATGGAAACCCATTCCTATTTTTGCGATCGGACCGTACAAGGAGTCCCCGTTTGAGATTCGCAGACAGAAACGGAAGTTGGGCAGGGACTGCTGAGCTAAAAATAATAGACTAGTGCAAGCCTGAACCCAGCGGCCTGTCGTCTACTTGTAAAGATGAACAACGCTATACTTTACCTGAGCCCCTATGTATAAACAAGAATCGGAGTTAAAGACTATTAAATCCTGCATCACTCTCTGTCCTAAGCCCTGCAACCAACAAAAGACATTCCGCATCTCCTACCTTCTCCTCATCAGATAACTGCTCCTCATGATCCGCCATCTTTCCTTCCGGCACGACGGTTCACTGAAGCTCACCCTGACGTCATCAGAAGGGAGGATTCCCACACGAGGCTCGCGCACTGCGTACGGAGCTGGAGAGTGTGCACAAGGCGCGCGACTAGCTGCGAGCGGCGGCACAGCCGGTCATGATTCTGGTCTCCCTGGATCGATGGATTATAATATAACCCGGCAAACATTTAGTAACCTTTCTGCAACGCTAAAGGTGCTGATAAAACGAGAGGTCCCGATAGCTTACGTGTTAATCAGCACTAAATAAGTGTATTATTTGTTCGTTATTGACCCCATCAAAATAGTAGACAAATGTTTCACTAGTCGGAATCAATTCCTCAATTTATATATGTGTATGTATTTAATTTATCACACTTCAATCTTAAAATGTTGTGCCTTTCAAACTGCACCTCCCAAGAGCAATTTAACACATTGGCGCAAGTCTTTTTAATTTACCACTGCCAAAGACGGCAGCAATCTGTAGACTGAGCCGAAACCCAGCGCTTATTATCTGATGAGGTTTTCAGATATCCGATTAGATCTGTTCTGCCGAACACTCGGTTGCTTGTTAACACTGCCACCTTCTGTTGTGTTAAGTATATTATTTGTATTGACTTTTTTTTTACCTGGTTCGTCTCGTATCGTAAACATTGGTGTAGAGCTCTTAGCTAGGTTGTTTTAAACTAGTCTAGTTAAAGGGTTATTGTTAATAAACGTGTTGTAACTATGTTCATTCTAAAAGTCCGAATGTATCGTGTGTTTCAATCAAAGCTAAAAAATAATGTCCTGTGATAAAACACTAAACGCCATCTCAACATTCAGTCATTCATCGAAAAAATAAAGACAATTTGAGCATTTCAGCATTTTGAAAGAACAATTGTTAGTTAACTTTTTGTGTAAAATTATTTTGCTCAATGTAAATAAGCAAAGCGTGCTATATTTAAATGAGGCTGCGGGTTTAGTCTTTTACTGGTTATGGTTTTGTGTGAAATGATTTGGACAAATCGCAAAATCCGAAATATCAAACAGGATACGCCTGAAACAGACAAAGCGACGAAGCTACTGTACGTAATCAACTTGCGAATTGAGCTCGGAAGGTATTACTGTACGTGACAGGTGTCGTATCCAATTCAGTATCCCCTGGAAATCTGCATCCCCCTACGTCATGCATATGTGACATCTCAGGGGCGTATGATTTTTCTCATCTTCTACATATAAAATGATTTACAGTAAATGTAACACATAAGGGCAAAAGATGCATATAGCCTTTGTGTGCTTTCTTTTGGGTTCCCGCAACCTACCGAAGCTCAGCAGGTGTAAGCCTGGACAGTACCTGGATGGGAGACCTCTAGAGAAAAACTAAGGTTGCTGCTGGAAGAGGTGTTCATGGGGCCAGCAGGGGGTGCTCACCCTGTGGTCTATGTGGGTCCTAATGCCCCAGTATAGTGACAGGGACACTATACTGTAAAAAGACCCCGTCCTTCAGATGAGACATAAAATTGAGGTCCTGACTCTCTGTGGTCATCAAAAATACCAGGGTGTTTCTCGAAAAGAATAGTGGTTTGACCCCGGCGTCCTGGCCAAATTTCCCATTGGCTTTTACCAATCATGGCCTCCTAATAATCCCCATCCATGATCTGGCTTCGTAACTCATAGCTGGTGTGCCGTCACATCATCCAGGTGGATGCTGCACACTGGTAGTGGTAGAGGGGAGTTCCCATTACCTGTAAAGCACTTTGAGTGGAGTGTCCAGAAAAGCCCTATATAAGTGTAAGCAATTATTATTATTATTATTATTATTAATTTGAGCTTTCATTCACGTGACAGCGGTATTTTTTGTGCATTTTTACATTACCGTAATCCTTAGAAAACGCATTAAATACACAGAGAAACCCATGTAAGTGCACAAACAACGGGGTCCTTTTTATCCATATCGTAATAAGCAAAGGCACAAACATGCACGAGCAGCCTGTATCATCAAGTTATCCTGGAAAGTTTGTGGAGCGCATGCGCATTACGTAAAGGGGATACAAATTTAGAAGGGATGAGAAAAATATACTGATCCTTGTGTAGCACCATCATGCTTTGTCGGCAACCATGCTAAGTATCCTAGATCTCTTCCTGCCAGTACTCTACCACCATTGCACACTCCTTAATATCCCTGGTCATCTATATCTGCAGATTACACTATAGGACTTTCTCAATTCTTGGTTGTTCCGTGTTGTTTTACTTGTAGTTGACTCATTCTTGAAGACAGCCCATTTTGTTCCCTTGCTCAAAGCCACGTGGTTGAAGCCAATATTTTAGTTTCCTTCAAGAAACAGCCACTTGACAGCTTTAGATCAATAAGCTACCAACTTCCCAATGGACCAGATGTAAACATTCCGATGTTCTTATATGTATATGTAGAAGTAATGCTCTTTCTGTCTTTATTAGCAGTGGTTTCCTTTTCTGAGTCCCACAGGCAAGTAGACTTCTGAAGATCACAAACCGACAATTTGTCTGTGACGTACACAGGAAATAGCTTTTATGCATTGTGTCTTACTGTATATCGTCTCTTGAATTCAGATTTTTTTCCTATTCCATCCATTTTCTTAACTTACAAGTCTGATTTTTTTAAGATTGAGGTTCTGTAGTTGTTTCCAATTCTACCTACACACGCATGTATATCAAATTTGTCTGTACAATCAGGCCTTGAGTCTATGAAATTTCATATTAAAAACCATAAATAATGATGTACAGTATTGCAGTATGCATTACCTCAAAAAGAAAATCATATATACCATCCTTAAATAAATAAAACCTTTTATAAAACTAGTTTTCAGTTGTTTAATGTGAATTAAACTGTCATATGTTTCACAGACTTCTCTGATACAGCTATTTTGAGGGTTTGCTGTGAATGCAAGTTTGCAGGTTTGAGGATTCAAAACGAAAGCACACTATATACTACACTTTATTCCGCCCCCTTTGTGAAATTTTAGTCGGCGATAAGGTGCAATAATAATAATAATAATAATAATAATAATAATAATAATAAAATTATTATTATTATTGCTTACCCTTATATAGCGAAAATGGTTATAGTAATTAAATCTTAAATAAAAAATAACGTATGGAATACCAATTTCCTGCAAACTAAATGTTAAAATGTTAATATCATACAATTCATAGATCATTTTATACATTACGCTTTTACTTAAAAAAATGTGCCACCACGTGCTATTTTATGAAGCGAGAAAAGTTCACGGTTTTAGTTGTAGAAACGACTCCGGGCCACAAGAGGGCGTCGACGCAGCGTAAAAAAACGGGACGTTGGCGTTTCAAGGAAAACATTTAGCTGTAAATAAAATGTTTAAATTTTAAATTACAACAAAAATACTTTACAGTAATGTTAGTCAGTACACTTTTACACTACACTGAGAGTACATATATGTTCGAACAGACCTTATGAAACTCACACCTCAGGGTTTGTACATTATCATCTTGGCGCGCAATAGATCATGTTGACTAATATGGAAGGTATGACGGTAAAGGACGCTGATTTGAGAAATATGCCAAGTGATTAGGTACAAAAGCAATGTTAAGCAAATGAATCACTGCATGCCTTGAATGTAACCTTTGTTCCAAAAATTTACAAATGGCAAAGGCAGGTCTTAGTTTAAGACAGGATGGTCTTCAGCTGTAAATAAATGTGAACAGGTGCACTGCTGTAAAAACTATTAAAAAGAAATGCCATTTGCAAACCAACTCAACTGTTTAGTGTACTAAAAGAGAAACACTTCACAAATGGGAATCAAGGAATATTGAATAAAAAAAACAGATGTGTCTTAGATTCCTCCTCTACACAATGTAATCCTTAGATTTTGTTGTAATAGTAATTAACCTGATTCTATATGGTCTTACAGTGTGTCCAATTTTTTTGATAATTACAAAACCATTTGCAGTTTTTTGAATTTGCTATTCTTTGTACACATACAGCGTGTGCTATTTTTGATTCTTTATGAACTGGAATTATGTTAAAAGTTGTATTCATTCATGTTGTTTTCCCCTTGGATAGTAGTGTCTGCCTAACATCTTCATTATCATTATCATTAATATAAAAAAATAATTCATTATGCTAAAATTTCATACCTGTGTGGAAATGAAAAAATAGAGTGTTCACCAACATTATTTATATAAAACAATTACAAATACAAAAAAAAAAAGACAACAATGAAAGTAAAGTTTCACCTGTCCAGCTCATCTGCTTGAAAGTGCTCTGGATGAAACCAGAACCTGATGACTCTTGTTAAAAGTGTGGGGTCATTTTTGTAGACCAAAAAAAAAATCCCTATTCCGATCAATAATTTTATTGGTTACTCAATATATTCGAGGCACAGTCCATCATGACACAGTTATTATATCATCAACAAAATCTCATTTTTATTATAGTTTTATTTCAGCAAGACATACCGAGAACATAGTATCATAACATGTACCATTATTTGTAATAATTTCCAAAGTGGGGTAACGTGTATATATATACACATACATCCACATATTTCAACAGGACACAACTTGACAAATATTTCAGTGCATTCATTTATACAGTATTTACACAAGCACTGGATTTGTAATAGTCTACATACTGTATGTAACAATTATATGTACCACGGCTTGAAATTGCCCATGATGTTCCTGTGGATTGATAGAAGATTTTAAATATATTCTTTATCTTTCTATAAAAAAATATAGTACTTCCAGAGTGTAAACAAATATTAAAACCTACTGATCACTACTGAGCTACACAAAACAGCAGCAAGCCCAAAACAAACTATAAAGGACAAGAATGCCAATACTTTCCACAGGAACACATACTGTACATTGAAAGTCACCAATTACTATATACACAACAGGACTTAATTTCTGTTAGTAGTACATAAAATATCCAGTGTACTGCTTCTCATTTAGCTGTGAACTGTGCCACAAATCTATGCCATCTGCATGAAAGTACTATAATTTTCCACTCTGTACTGAAGAATAGAAGGACCAAACATTTGAAGATATATGCAACATACCATGTTTTAATAGTATTTGGGCTCGAGTGTGAAATAATTAGGCTGAAGAGAAAAACAACTCTGGTTGGGTGCCCCAGCAAATGCATTAAGCTTTGAACATCCTCAGTAGTATGCGTTTAATTCAGAAACGCCTCAATGATAATGAGTCCCAATCCATGTTGCTCTTGGCAGTAGGTTTGATCCTTATCCATGACTAGGGGCTGGAGTGTGGAAAAACAGTGGACATCTATGAATCTTGTTTTTGGACTACAGCTCCTGGTAGCTGTCCCAGATCCGTTCGGGATCGACTCCGTGGAGTAACCTGTCATGAGAAGGATGACTGTATTCTTGTAGTTTTGCTTCTGTAGGATAAATCCGTCATATCTCTGTGTGCATCGGACCAGGACAGTCGTGACCACAAGAGCAGTGGCATCTTTTCATTTGACATTTTTTCTCAAGGCGTCATACAGTGCATCATTATTGTGTGCAAAAGACTCTTGCCTCATGTGCAGCATTCCCGGTCCAGGCTGGACTGGGAGGAGATGAGGGAAGGGTAGGGCGTGAGTCTGTCGATGTTAACGTACGTTGTGTTCAGCAGGATGTAATGCTCTCCGCAAAAACTCGAGAAAATGGAAGAGATCCTAGCAACCAGCTCTGAAAAAGTTGGCCGGCGTTCTGGTTTAGGGTGCCAACATTCAATCATCACATTGTACCTGTAAAATGAAAAAAAAACCCATCAGAAAGCACTGTTTATATCATAATATCAAGTCAAATAATTGTGTAGATGTTATTTTTAAAAAATAGTTCTCCTATGTTTACAATTTAACATCCTGACTTAATTACTGATATTTTTAAGTGTTCTCAAAAACAATCAAAAAAAGAAAAAATTATTAGGACATCTTATGTTATATGTTTAACATGGATTTCTAAAACAGACTTTCATGAAATACACTGTTGCCATATAAGACCATAGGAAAGGTTACACAATGAGAGGAGCCCATCTAGCTTGTTAGTGTAGTTAATTGATCCAAATATCTCATCAAGACATTTCTTTGAAAAAGCCAGGGTGTCAGCTTCAACCACATGCTTTGCTCCACACTCCCTCAACCCTGATCTTTACTCTCAGAATCCATATTTATTTGCTGATGGTGTTGTAAGATTAACGTGTGCTAAATTCCTAAACTCTTTGTCAAAATGTAAACGCCCCCATTTATTGCCTGCAGTACACCTAAAGTACCTGATTTCCTAATTTCAATCACACATTTCTCAGTACATTCCAAGCAGGAAAGGCACACAACAATGGCCCATCCTATCTCCCCTGCAGAAGACATACAGTACTGTACTTACAGTGAGTCAGGGCAGAACTCCGGCTGCAGCAGCCTTCTGCCCTGCAGTAAGAAGACAGTGATGTCGAAGGAGTTGATGTCTGAATAAGGAGGGGCTCCTCTGGTCATCAGCTCCCACAGAAGCACTCCAAAAGACCACTGCATGTGTCCAAAATAAAAGAAAAACAAGAAACATCATTCTCATATGTGAATAAATATGAGATTCTTGTTTATGAAGTAGTAAGGGTCAGAAACTGCACCAGCAATGAAATTTACTTCAAAATCAAACATTCATAGTCATTTCTGGGAAGCTTAGGGCATACACAGATAAACATGATTGGGTTCATGGAACCTAATCCAAATGTTTAACAATAAACTAGTATTTGTGCAGTAAGCTGAAGAAGTGACTCACTGCTCATGTATAAAGTACTGTTCTCAGCCTTACATGACGTTTCACATACCACTGGAATCTAGGTTCTTTCAGACCTAGAGGTTAAACTCTCATAGCATTTCAACCACATACTGTATAAGCATTCGTGTCTCACCAATAATTAAACTGCTCCAGAGTTAACATAGTTTTATTGATTACTTATTACTTCTTCCTGCCACCTAATAAACAAAATGCAAACCAGCTGTTAATTCACTCAAAAATGAATTTTGCACAAGCTCTTTGACTCTTATCCTTCGCCTCCTGGGGCTAAGGAATGGATTATTTGTGAATGAAAATATTCAGCGTTGGATCACTATATTTTGGGGGAGGATATGCCCTTGCTTAAATAAGGTTAGAATATTAAGTTGTTAAGTAACAGCACTATACACGGAAAATTGGTATAGTTAAAATGTTTTATAAATGTTTAATATACATTCATAAAGGATTTAACACAGATGCCACATAATAAAGTATTTTTTTTTCGTGGGAGATATAATGGTATTAGCTACTGTATAGCAGCATCAGGTTGAGTAAAACAAGGGTTGTACAACAAGGTCTTTTTAATCTTTCTCACAACATTTACAAACGTGGCATTTCATTAATAAGAATTATTAATAAATAATTTAACCTCACATTACAACAAGTACAGAACCAGAACATTAATTAGTGTTCTTTTAGCTCAGCTGTTAATGTACCTAAATGTACTGATTTGGTGAAATCCATATTTGGCTTTATTTGGATTTGATTGAAGCATTACATCCTAAGGGTATTGTGTCTCTACATTTAAATGTCTAAGAAAATAACTGCAACCTATACTTTAGGATAAAGTATAAGTTCAACAAGACAAAATTTGAAATGAAAGCATAGGAACTGCTGCTCATACCACATCCGACTTTGTTGTAAATTTGTGAGTCTGTAAGCTCTCCAATGCCATCCACTTCACAGGTAATTTGACCCCACTTTTGTTGTGTACACTGTAGTATTCTTTGTCATAGACATCTCTCGCAAGACCAAAATCAGCAACTTTAACTGTGTAGTTTTCGTCCAGCCTAGGAACGAAACAGATAAAAACTGTTGACTCTACGTGACAGACACGCTCCAAGGGAAGCAAAAATACACACAAAGGAAAAACACCATGCAGAGTAAAAGGAAACAGGATTAACAAGTGATAAAAAAGGGAACAGCTGCTGATGCTGAGTGTACTGTATAATTAAAGTCTTTGATCTTCTTTCAGATGTTATTACAGTGAGGTCTAGTATTCACATATTCTCTTATATACTGAATTTGCTGTGAAATAATGAGGTTTTATGCTCATGAGAGTTAAAAAAAGACCTGCACAGGAGGAAAGGTATTAAAGTCAAGAGAATTGTATCTAAATAGTATAATGTAGAATTTTGTATTCACAGTCAAAAACAACTAGATAAAACTATAAAATACCAAAACTACAAATTCAACTGGTAAAGTCTTTTTTTTCCTCCTAACCTTTCTATTTGAAATGCCATACTTACATACAGTTCCTGGCGGCTAGATCCCTATGCACAAACTTCTTGCTGGCAAGATATTCCATGCCTTTTGCTATCTGAAGCCCAAACCCCATGAGATCCTTGACCGTTGGGTTCTGTAAAACATTGCAAATTAACAAATAAAAGCCATCATGGAAAAACAAGTCACTGTTCAAATGAAAACTTTTTTTTTTGTGTAACTGCAACAAATTCATAGTTTCACTCTTATCAAGAATATGACAATCTTTTTTATTTAGCTCAAAAACAACACAACACCCCCTCCCCCCACCTTAAAATGTAAACTACTTTTTATACATCAGGATTTTAATTTTATATAATACTTTAGCATGGGTGATTTCTAGAAATGTAGATATAATGTAGGTGACTTTATTCAACATGTTTACATTTGTCATCAACAGCACTGATCTGTGACAGGTGTGACCACCATTAGACCGATACCATTTTATAACATTCGGTCTCATTCCTCTCAAAAGAGCCTGGACAAGTACAGCATGTGTCTGTTCCTTTATCTCTGGCTCTAAATGCCACACATCACATCATCCCAACTCATTCTTCAAGTGTTCAATACAATTTAAGCAATACAACACAGCATCACATGGACACACAAATTTGCCCTCTCTAGAATATGGAATCAGACATGGGAGTTCAAGGCCAGGACACCTCCAGTTCTGACCCAAAACTACAATCAAGAGTCTCAAGAGACTGTGAGACGAGAAACGGTTTGCTGTCACCCTGGACCTAAAGTGACTGATTTGGTCCACTGACAGTTGTCAGTTGTTGTTGTCCATGTGGGCACAAATGACATTTGGGATAAACAGCACAGCTCATTCAAGCAACTTGGCAAAGAACTGGAGAATAGAACTAAATCAGGCATTTCATGCAAGGATATATGATTAAAAGTGTAGAATTGGAATCAATGGATGGTATATTAAAATTGCATAATGCACTCATAAGGCCCCACTAATTGTGTACAATTGTGGTCACCATGTTACAGAAAAGACATTACTGTTCTGGATTTCAGAGAAGAATTAAGTGAATAGCAGCCATCTACTGTACATTCTGGGGCTTAAGAGAATGTCAGTGGGCACATATACTGTACGAAGGAGCCTTGAACAGAGAAGACAAGGAGGGGATCTGATACAAGTACTCAAAATCCTTAAAGGCACTGACAAAGTCAACCCATCATTGGAGATCTTCATAATGAACAGTGAAACAGTAAATTGTGTACAAGTGCATTTAAAACCGAGAATACTTCTTTGCCCAGAGGGGTGTGGGAATGGAACAATCTACCCAGCCATGTTGTTGAAGCCAAAACCCTGGTAACTTTCAAGAAACGGCTGGATGTGATCCATGGTTCAATTAACGATTGATTATCAAATGGGCTAGATGGGCAGAACAGCCACCTCTCATATGTCAAATTCCCTAACATTCTCAAGTCTGATGACTAGGGCATCAATGGTACTTTATATCTGTCACATTCTCATTTCATAAGAAAGCTGTTGTCACATGAGCTCATATCAGGATGAGCCTTTACGAATGGCAGCCATTAAACCAGCCAAGAAGGTGCTCCGGCAGATGTGTATATTGTTTTCTTGCTGTAGTTTTCTTTCTTGATTTTCACCACACTCGATATTCACCAAGTTAAATGACCTCATCTCCTGAGTCCAATCAACCCCTTCTAGAAGAGAGAGATTTAGTGTTTGAAGATTAGAATGGAGAAGTGCTTCAGTGCGCGAGATGCAATGGAACAAGGAGGGGTTAATTCCATGCAGATCGGAATGAGGCTCATCCGCTGAAATATTGAGTGTTTCATTCCTTCCTTCTACTTTTCAGCATGTAATTAGCTTCTGCTTCTAGCAATTTAGAGCTCATACAAAAAGCAAAAGTGGTCCAAGCTATTCCAGCAGATCGCAGTCGAACATGTGGCAGTCAATCAAGAAAAAAGACACCAATCAATATCCACAATCTATATATCTATTACTTTTATAAAAACACTATTTGTGATATGTCTATTTCATAGCTCAATATTCATATATCGATTCTTTTCCAAACCGCTTTTCAGTTTTACAATGGACGGTACTTACATGACTCTCATCCCTGATGAAGTTCCTAAGGTCACCATGTTTCATGTAGGGCAGTACAACTAAAGGAGACCCTTCACTTGGAAGACAGATGCCCAGCAGTGAGAGAACATTAGGATGGCTGAAATCTTTCATGATGATTCCTTCTTTGAGAAACTGAGATACTTCTTCAATGTCTGTAATTCCTAATCAAGACAAAGCAAAAAAAAAAAAGTGATCCCTTCTTATCTGTAAAATCCACAAAAAGCAACCAAATTATTTCCCTCCTCTAGAAAAGGAACCATCAGCAGACAAAAGACCAGTAATTCTGGTAATTAATTAAATCAGCTCCATGCTGCATTTTGTCCTTAATCTGATACAGTATGTCTTCATGAAGCTTCGTCCAAAAAGGCAACTACATTACTGAAATGTCCATAGAGTAAATAAAAAGTGATGCTATTTTTTTTACATCCTAGCCTTAATGTGTTAATCCTGCATAGAAAACAATTTCGGTGAACTGTAGGTGTTAATATTTCACTGCATGACAACTAGAAAAATGTCACAAGAAGCATGAAAATGGAGATGCATTCAAAACTACTAACAAAACAATCTGCATATGAGACAAACATAAAAAAACAACAAAATAATATTATGACCTTATTTACCTAACCAGGTATGATAACTGTATTAACACTTCAACAAGTGGCACATTTTATACTAAACACTATGCAGAAAAACCAACAAACAGACAAACTGCTTTGCACCCTAATTCTTGAAAATCGTGTCATCTATTCTATGACCCTTTTAAAGTATATAGTATCTTTATTTATAAAAATCTATGTGAGCTGAAAATATATATTTTTTATTTGGACATAAGGTCAACATAGAAAGTAAACTACAAATAAAAAAAACACCTTTTCAATAGTTACAAATACAGATGAATTGCAATATCTTCTAACATGGAGAAATAATAATAAAGGATAGAAGGGAAGGCATGCCAGTTTAAAGCCCACAGACAAAACTAAACTATTTGCTTTATGAAGCACCATCCAAGAGAAATGGCAACATAAATCCTAGTGCTAGAAGTGGCATGTTATATAATTATAATAAAACATAATGTAATATCCATGGAAAATAGGACATTTGTCATGCAGCTCGCTTTTTTTCTCCGCAAGCACCACCACGAACAATTAAAGAAAATGTAAATACATTAGCCATGGGGGTTGTGTATAGACTAATCAATTTCAGCTCTGCTATAAATATGAACATTTTTCAATCTGTTACTTACTGTTAAGAGATTTTACTGCACAATGAAGTTTCAGGCCCTCTTTATCCAATAGAGTTCCATGAAAAACACAACCAAAGTGCCCTATTTCCCAAAAAGACAAAAAAGGCCAACATTACCCAGTTTGAAAATACATTTTCTGTTCTTATAACAGCATGAGCTGTTGTGGGTTATACCATCAAAGCAGCATCGAACAATAACGGAAACTGACATCAAAAGACTAGAGCTAATTTCCCTGTCCACATCTTATAAAGAATATATATATTTTATAATGCTGAAATAGAAGGATAGAAGGCACTCTTTTTAATTCTAAAAAAACATTACATGCTTCATAGTTTTCAACTGAAACTTTAACACAGGACAACGTAACATGTTGTGTACACAGCTGGCATATTGGGACCTTTTTATATAGCAACAAAAAATCTTCATGCACACCGATAATGAAAAATGTAATAATTATTTGGCTCATGTCCTATCACATTCTTCCAGACGACAGTGGGTCAGGATTAACAACCTGCATAGTTCAGAAGCTCAATAATGGGATAGGAAATTGAAATGTGAACAACATATCATCCAAATCCCTTCAGATATGAACCTGTACACATTTGTATTTTTTAATTGCAGCAGGAGACAGAAAAAGACTGCTTTTGTTAATACAGAGAGAACAGATTTCTTGATGTTCACATCTGAAGGTCAAATGAAATGTCAGGTACCACCACTTAGTAACACCATGTAAGCAATTTATTTGTCAAGTATAAACAATTTAAATCAATTTGGGAAAGCAACAGTTCCAGGGACACAAGTTGAAATCCTAAGAAATCAACCCTCGACAAAAGTCAGAGTCAGGAGCAGAAAACTTAATTATTAACAAATTTCTTTACGTATTGTTTTTTTTCTGACTCAAGGCGGCAGCCCTTAAACTACTTTCTCCTAGGGTTTGGGTAGTAGTGTAATGAGATTTTTTTTAAATAAGACAATACCCCGATCTGTGTGTCAAGTCTCACTAGGATTGCAGGAATAGTTTATGGCACTTGCCTCTTCCTATGACTTCATTAAGGTGCAGGAGAAGGTCATCCCGGGCTATGACCACGTGCTGAACTTCCTTCAGGAGCTCGGGGTTGAGGCTGCTAATGTCAATGTGAACAGAGGAAGGAAGCAGAGGGGTGGCTAGATCCGTCTCTCCGCTGGACAGAATCGGGGACATGTCTGAGTGCGGGTACGAGGGCAGCCTGCAGGACTCGGTCTGGGACAGAGTCTGACTCTGATCTAGAATACAATTGCCAGCGGTGTCAGAAAAAACATGATTACCATCTTGCTTTTTAGGAAACAATGTGATTAATGAAAAACATGTTACATAAAAAAAAATATCCACGATATGATCAAGTCTCCTAGTAAATGCAATGTTTCCTTCTTTTTAAAAATATTCCACAGAATAAAAAAAAAGGGAGAAGTGGAATGGTGAAGTACTGTACTGACAAATTTCACGCACTTTCAAGAGCACGCAGTAATAAAACAATACCATACCCTCAAGCAAAGTAGATCTGTAATCAACAGATTCATGGGAAACCATTTCATTTGTCGGGCTGACACTCCTTGCATTAGCCAACATTTCCAAGTGTGGAGTATGGGATCTCCCGTTATACCAAACCATTCCCTCATCTAAATCTACAATCAGACAGAAAGGAAAGGAGGCCGTTTAAACAAAATGACATTTTTCACATTGCATTCAAGCTTTCCGATTTATTTAGAACACTTTCTTGCAAGAAATGACTGTTTCGGTGCCGAACCAACAGAATGGATGATGATTTCTGGGACTCCGCTTGCAAAGATAAAAATAAATGTTCTGCCACAGTATGCCGGACATGCAAAACTAAAACAAAACTATTTGAAATGCATCACTTTCATTAACACGTCAGGATGAAGTTAATCACAGTATCCGTCTCTTCCGAGCCTCCATGTGTAACATACTGTAGCGTTGTTTAAATATGGCTACATTATTTAACTCAAGTTGAATCAGCCTCTAAAGGCATTTCTAATACAGTATGATTGAGAACACATTTAAAAAATATGTAACTGCCTTCAACCACATACACGACAGTATACATTATATCCAAAGAAATATTAAAAATGATTTAAATATAGAACCAACCATTTGTGACCATTTGTCACATTTGTAATGTCTTACTCTACACTGATTATTTTAATTGCATGCATTTTTGTATATAATTGTATTATGTATATATACTTTTTTGAGTACACGTTATAAACTCCAGGATGCAAATAATGACTTATTTACATATATTACCATATTGCCATAATATATGGACCTACTGTATATCAATGTCAAGAAAAACATTTAAAAACAGGTGATAAGTCCCAAAGTCTCATATTTTACCTTCAATATGTTTCTTTTTCCTCATCCACATGAAGAGACCCAACACCACAAGGAGCAGGATGCTTACTGAAGTCACACCTCCTATAAGCCCAGTATAGTCCTGCTCCTGGGCAAGCATTACTTTCCCAAGGACAACGGATGACATTGCTTGCTTCCACTAAATATAAAAAAATACAGGGAACACACACACAAAACTCTTCAATCGGAAGTTAAGGAAAAAACGTTGCATTTAAAGAAAGAAGTGTTCCCCCCCCCCATCATGACATGTTACAGAAGCAGATCTCTGAAGGTAAGGGGTTATGTGCACATAAAACCTGGAAAATGAAATTCTTCACAGCAAATTGAATCTACTGTCAGTTCAATCCCTAAAGTGACACTGATGCCTGAATTATATTCGCCATGAAGCAGAATGCACAACAAAGATAAGATTTGATAAAATATATTGTAATACGTTATCTCATATAAAAGAAAACCTTGTTAAGATCTGAACAGATTACCAATAGAGCTAATGTCAGAAGGTCTGGCTGGTTAGAATTCATGCCTAGCATAGAGGCTGTTGCCTGCTAGAAAATTGACCCTGGTGGCACATAAGTGTTTTATGTTTAAGGTGAGGGTACTTAGAATCAATCTGCAGCAGGTGCAACTGTGAACTAAACTGCCCCTTTTAAAGGATTTCCTAGGACTGTTTCAGGTTGCTTAATGAAGGCATGCACTCCACAACAAGCTCTTAACTCAGAACCCGACAAGCCTCGCCAGTCTTTGATAAGGCTGAAAACCTATTCAAATGACAGAATTATAGTGTTAAATTGGCCTCCCACGGGGCTCAACTGGTAAAGACGCTTGTGTGAGAGGAGTTTGGAATCAGAAATTTGAAGTTGGCTCATGTCACTAGCCAACTGTGACCAGGATTCTCCCAGTGGCAGCTCTCAATTGGTTGAACGCAGCCAAGGGCATGGTGGGATTATTTCTCTTGGCTCTTGCAAAGCACCTGCGGCCTCCCCAGCTCTTGTCGGCTTGCAGTGCTGTTGTACATTCAAATCATCACCCGAAACTTAAGTACAGAGCTGTGCTGCCGGTGATGTGCTAAAAAACAAGCAGTGTGAAAGGGCATCGGTTGGAGAAGCCTTGGCTACGCTTTCTCCTTCTTCCCCGTGTGCGGTCATGGGTTTTTTAAGCTGAGATGTACACAAAAAAATACTATTGGCTATTGCTATTCCAAGTTGGGGGGGGTAAAACAAATAATTGTAGATCTTTAAAAAAGCGATACATTCTTGTGCTTTGGTTTTCCAAATTGCAGTCTAAACAACTCAATACAGCAAGTTCATCATCAGTATTTTAACCACAATATATTTGGTCAGCATCTGTAATAATAAAGGGCCTTTTTTGTATATTGTTACACCAATATTAATGTAGTAAGGAAAAAAAATGCACATAAAACTCTGAATTAACAATGGGCCATTGATTCCGTAGTTCTGGAAATCTGACAAGTTGCGAACTAGTGAGGAGAGGTTCTTACCTCCACTTCAAGTTCATTGTTGCCTGCCTGGAGCTCCATGGGAACTGTGCACACTATTGTGTTTCCCACCAGATGGATATTCTCACAGCTCCTGTTGCTCACTTTAAGTACTTCACCTTGCACAGCCACTTTGTCCAGTTGGGGTACCTAAGAATGAGAAAAGGCTAACCTAAAAATCTGTTCTCAAAAAAGAGGGAATTGCTACTGCTTCCATTTCAGAGAAAATGATCTGAAAATAAAGTTTTGCTAATAAGGCAGCCACCTGGAAGGATAAAAAGCCTTTTATCCTTCCAGTTTTCTTTTCTTTTTTAAAGTGTCCTCTTTTTTTATCAGAAGAAGAACACATGACTACAGGATAATGCATAGTAACTATTTAGTGATGGCAAATCTGAAATTCAACACTGTAAAAGTGTGTGATAACAAAGATTAAATGCACCATGGTCAATAAGTCTGGATCACATTCCATGCATAACAGTCAAATGTTTTTAAATTAGACACACAATTCTAGACTGCACCTGTTTTCTAACACTATGTACCAAATGGAACTTGAACATGTAAAAACACGCTGACCTTTCAGTGCAGAACTATGTACAGAACACTAAAGTCAAATAGCACTAAACCAAATATTTTTTAAGGCATATCAAGGTCTCTGTGTACTGGATTTGTTCTCAGCACAGAAGTAAGCAAGCGTTAGTTGTGTAATTGATTTTAATACTGTACAAAAGTGATTTTTCAACCTTTTCACTCTCTTGTTTTCAGCAAAGAAGCCTGGGCTGCTAACATAACAGTTCACAATCTATGCATTTGTAAATAACAAAGAAAAAAGCATTTAGATTTTACCCCCTTTGAAGTGTGATACAAAATAAATAAATAAGGCTGAAATGTTCAGACAAACATAACTATCAATTTCAACATTTACCAGAAAGTGTAATATGCTCAAGATAAAGTACATGACATGATAGAATGTTTCTATGACCTCTGTGAGCTGTTTTAAATGAGCCTTATCAGAAAAGCAAACGGGCCTGTCCTCTAGAGTAATATAAAGGCAATCTTTGGCTTAAGAAGGCTGAGACATTGTTGGGCACTAGTCTGAGCTTGGAAATGTAAGCCCTGTCTGATATTTTATACACTTGCTCTCAATGCACAGCTGCTGTTGGTTAGATTGCTATAAAATTCCTTTTGTCCTCTTTTTAAGAGGTACTTTTCCTTTACAAAGAAATGTGCAAGATAAGTAACCATACAACAATTACATTGTCAGCCTTCAAAAAACAGCATTTATCAGTACAAAAAATGTTCTATATTTGAGAAGGCAATAGTCTGTATTTCATTTTAAAAGTATAAGTAATAGTTTTATTCCATGCCGAAAAGAGAAGAAGGAAAACACATTTCAGCTGTGGAGCCTTCTTCAGGTGTGAAGGCTCCACGGCCGAAACGTTGTGTTTTCTTTCTTCTCTTTTCGGCATGGAATAAACCCATTACTTGTTCCTTTGCAGCCTACACATACTGATGCAGCTATCCACCTGAACTATTTTAAAAGTATTATGTAATTAACACTGAAATGCTAATACTGTACAAGCAACATGATAAAATGACTTACTTTTATCTCCAAAATGTTTTTGTTGCCTCTTGAAGTAATTTTCGGTTTCTCGAATTCTTCAAATTTCGGATCTTCCACGTACAGTAAGTCAAACTGTCTCGTGGCAAAACCATCGAAGATGAAAGAGACCTTTGTCACCACAGGAGGCAGAAGCTTCAGGTCTTTCAGAGAGGGGGTTGTGCAGTAGATTACATGCTTGTCTTCACCTTGTGTGCATGCCTAGATAATGGAAAAGGCTTGAATTTTAAAGAAGCACTTTCTATTTATACACACTTTTTCAAATTACCCCCCTCTCTGCTGTTTGTAACCGTGCGCATGTAGTTTAGATGTCATGCATTCATACGGGTTATGTTCTAACTTAACTGAAGTGAGCAGGTTCAGAGCAGTTTAGCAGAAGAGGACTGAATAATACAACTTTCATCAGGTTCAAGCAAGTGCTAACTTTTCTCCTGAAGCTGTTCCTCCAACCATGGTATTAATATAACTAAAAACACCAGAATGTATATGGATATGTCCTTCACTTTAGAGTAAGAAAAAAGCTGTTGATCTTTTGAGAATGAAAAGATTGTTGACCTGAACAATAATAACTATACAAAGAAGAACAAATGTCACTGACAGGTCTTTAAAGAAGCACTAAGATGCTGACACAAAGCTGCAGAGCCTAATTTTAGCAGTGAACTACATCGTCAAGCTGTACATAAAAATATATACACAAAAAAAGTCCTTTCTCCTTCTGCAGAGTAAAAAGGCCTGAATCGGGGATAGACTATACTCATGCAATAAGTATATACCATTCAGTGCTTTAGCTATGAGTAGGAGGACCTTAAAGTTAACGTTGCTTTTCAAAAGTAGTAGTTTTTACAACAGCACTACACTGTTAAACTTGTCCAATATTTTAAAAATATATCTTTATAAACAAACAAAACTGCTAAATAAAAGAAAAAGTCAATTGCTACCATCAGGTTGAATAAAGATATCCTTTTATTAATATAAATATCATTAAACAGGGATATTGGTACTAAAAATGTGTTTATATCGGCTTTTTAAACTATGTTTAATTAAAAAAACAAATGCCACAAATTAATATAAATATCCATCAAAAAGGCCCTCAAAAATCAAGCAACAATTTCAGATATCAAGGTACTGTGAAAGAAATTCACAACTATTACACTAGCATGTGAAAGTTCTTGAGCTAATTTACATGTAATAGAGACAATGTATTAGTGCTTTAATTATTACATATCTCTTTTAACCATATATACTATATACTGTAGCACATTATGCGACAGTGTAGGGGTGGACTTGGTTATTTACAAGTTTGGCTATTTGTGAGGGTCTGGTGCCTCTACAAAGACCCTGTTGCGGTATAACAACTGACACCACACGCATTCTTGATGGCTGCATCTGTATACTAAATGTTCTGCAAAAGTGATTGGTTGAAGCTTGATATAAAAAAAGAAATAACATACTGTATATTAATAGTTCAGTATTACATTTTGTAGCCAATTCCACCAGAAACCAAAACAAAATACTCAGTTAAAACTTTCAGATCGGTCTAGACATAAAAATGTTTTAACACGTTCACTTTAATGGACGTTTCCCCACAGGAAAATGTTGAAAATCCCAGGATAAAAACATATACAACGGCAACAAACTTATACAACACTGCTTCAGGTGTTCTATTATCAATAACTGTAAATAGCTCCCTAAAGCAGCCCTCACCACATCCCTCCACAAAAAGAAAGGATCCAACTGTGGGTACAGACTAAGATTGCCACAGGAACAGACTCTCCAATTTTACAATTAAGATCCTCACAATCAGCATATTTAGAATCTCAGCAGTCGTACGCTACAATTTCCCAAAGTCAAGTTCCCTTGAGCTTTCTCAAGGCATATGATCGCTTGTCATCGCCTGAATTTTAAGATTTTTCAAGATTCACATCTTCTACACAACAACAACAAAAAAAAATGGACACACAATGCCTTTCAAGGAAATATAAATTCCGAAGTAGCTGGCTTTCATTTTCTGCCATCTCTAACGGAAAAACAGAAATAAAATGTCATTTCTGTTCTTTACAAATATCACTTAGAAACATTATTTGAAACTCATATTTTATCTTATCTTAAAAATGAGCACATGACTGGTGCACTTACAACAAATTAAATTGAGCACACTGTCCAGTCAATAGCCAGTTCTTTATGATCTCAAGCAGCGTAGAATCAGACAATACAGAATTGAACAAAAAGAAGGAAAAAAAATATTCTCTCTGAATCTCACTAGAAATATCTGCCAATGAATACATGCTCACAGTAAAAATGAATACATTGTCCTCTCAGTAGCACTGAGGATAACGAGATTATTCATGACTCAAGGTCCCACCATTTTTTTCCCTGTGAGTAAGTAGGCTCCTAGATTGATAAAAGAATAGATGTTTTCTTTTTAGATGACAGTTGTGTTAAAGCTACTTGTCAGATGAATGGAGATTTATTTTTAAATGATTTAGTCATAGTGTCGTATTTAAAGCGGCAAAACGTTTATATAATCTATATGCCTACTGACTGTGGCAGACAATTCCCCCTCAGAAGTATTTTACTAGACATTAATTTAATAGGCTTATGGTCTGTGGTACTTCACTGAGCTGAACTAAAATTTCTTCCTATAAAGAATTTAAGGCATAACAGCTTTGATGCTCAAATGTCAAACCACAGTGTGGTCTGCATTTTCTTTCTGCCCTCAATTATTTATTGAAAGTGTTTCAGAGTTATTGACAAAGAATACTTATTAATTTAATTTACGTTGCACTTTAAATTAATAAATGATAAGGAACATTTTATGATGAAATATTTGAAGGCAGCAGAATGGTAGACTTTGACTATATTTTCTAAAAATGTACCCTTGTTTCTTTATACCTTTGAATTGATTCTCTAACCAGGTGGACCACAACATAATTACACCTTCTTTACATCTCCAATTACTCAAACCCATCCCTCCTTCTAAGGATTCCTGCCAGAAGAAGACTGTAGCCCAAGGGCCAAACCACTCTGTGTTTCTTGTAAGTGCTGCTGCTAAGTCCTGTATGTCACAGAATCCATGGAAAAAGTGAAGTGTGTTTTGGGCGAAGCTTCTTTTGAAAGTTAAAATTTAAATTAGAAATGTGCCCTGAGGAACTCAGGGAGGCTGGCATGCCAGTTTTACGGGACTGAGAATACATGTTGCTAAATCCTAAGAAAGATATGGCCTTGCATAAGTATTGGTTGTTTGTTTAAAATAAATAAATGACCCTTAAAAAAAACTAAGAATACTGGATCCAAACTGCCTGGCAGCTGTGTAGGTTCCAAACCTCGCTCATGGCTATGAACCTTGTGACCACACACAGGGGAGAACAAGGAAGTGTACACAGACTCCTCCAATCACCCTCCTTTGAACCACTTAACCTTTGTATGTTAGAGGCACCACAGCCAGTACTGAGTTTGTAAATCACAAGGTGCCGGGGCACTTAACTGTGACAGGAACTAGAACATAAAGGTAACGCACTTTCATCACATTTTCAAGCCACCGTATTCGATAACATAATAACAAAGAAAATTAAAACACTTAATTAGTCATTTTAATGCAATAGTTATTGAACATGTCGCACATTGAACAGTGCGAGTTGGTGGTATAGTGGCGAGCATAGCTGCCTTCCATCACCAAACGTTTGGGGGCAGTGTGGTGGCTCTGTGGTTCAGGATCAACGCCTGTGGCTGGAAAGTTGCTGGTTCGTATCCCGCGGCCGGCAGAGGAATCCTACTCTGGTGGGCCCTTAACCCCAGCTCCTCCAGGGGCGCTGTATAAATGGCTGACCCTGTGCTCTGACCCCCAGCTTCTCTTCCTGTCTGTGTGTCTCATGGAGAGCAAGTTGGGGTACACGAAAAGGCAAATTCCTAATACAGGAAATTGTATATGGCCAATAAAGTGATCTTATCTCATCTTATTATGGAAATGATGTTACTTGCATGAGACTGAGACAGTGTCGAATTTTGCCGTGGCGGAGGACCTGGTCTTTGGGAGCAGTGGAGCAGTGGAGTTAGAGGCTATCTAGGGAATGGAGCAGAATGCCTGTGATCCAATCCCAGCAGAGCCAGAGCAGAGCACAGCTCCACAGTTTGCATATAAAACCCATGAGTAACCATTTTTTATTGCCCCCAGGAGGTGCTCGGAGTGCGGACAGTCACAAATCAAGACGTGCCAGAGCTCCAGCGAGTCCTGGTGCAAATTAAGAACACGTCACTGCCCTCGACCAATGGTCCAGTGCCAACTGACGGAGAGGTACATGAAAATACATGCCTGTAAGCTCCCAGGGAGCCACAGGGGTCAATGAGACTCTCAGAGCCGAGAGAGACCTACTATATCCTCAGTGGCACCCACGAAATTGGGCACACTGCCGGAGGAATCCCAGGCACAGTAGGCCAGTCACGTGACCCAGGCTCAAATTGAGGTCAGGTGAACAGGTGACTGGTTGAGCTGCTCGGGAGGCCCTCTGCATTTTTTTGTACAATTCAGGCATTTGTTATTGGTATAATACCTGCAGATACTGGCGTGACAGAGCGCTGCAGGTATTTCACACTAGCAAATCTTTAACCAACACACTCACCACTTGAAATTCCTTTCCCTCTTGTGGTGGGACAATAACCATTTGCAGGGAGTGAGCAGAGTGCAAATAGACTCCATGTGCAGAAACTGTACTTCCTCCACTGTGTGGAAATAAAGAAACCTCCTGTTACAAATGGGCATCAGAAGACACTGCTTTGGCTCTGTTTTATTAACTGCAAAATCTAACAATCCCTGAGCTCTGAGAATATCCACAAGGGCTCTGATAAAATGTTTTAAACATGCAAAGCGTCAAATATCTTATTCCTACATGTGCTCTCATTCCTGCAAAAAGCTCTGGTCCAGACTTTGGGGGTTCCTTGATGAAGGGTTAAATAAAGAATCAAGAAAGTGTAATCTAGCAAGACAATAATATGCAAGATGAGTGATGCAGATTCCAGCAGACTCAATTCTTCACTTTCTCCTGTGACACGTTCGAGTTCTGCATCTTTGTCTTGAAATGATTGACCTAACTCACCTGATAAAGGACCTTGATGGCTGAATGTTGGATATGAAAGGATCCTCATTGTAGGTGTACGAAGGAGCTTCAAGGAGAGTAGAGTCAATCTTCAATTTCACAGGAAATTGTGAAGGTGCAGTCTGAGGTGGAGTCTTACATTTCAACAAAGTTTCTGACACACTGAGCAAAAAAGAAAACCTGTATTCAGTTGTGGAATGTCAATCAATTTTAAGATTATCAACCAAAAATTACGTTGTAATTATTTTAACTGCTAAGGCCCAAATGATGATCATCGTAAAAATAAGGCTGTTAGCAAATCGAAAACCATTTAGAGTTTTATTCATTTACCCTTTCACATAGCATGTGGATCATTGCCCTACATTGTACATTGTTCCATCAGATCATGAAGCTGAGCTGCATACACTCTCACAAAGTCTCTGCAATCACATTTTAATGACAATATTTCATTGGGATCAAATGATTAAAGTAACTACTCTGACAACACAAAGGAGTAATTAAGTAATTTCTCACCTTTCCAATACGCACACCGAATTTCCAACAGTAATTTGTCTGGCGTTTCCACTGTCTAAGAATGCTCCTTTTAAGCTTAATATCGTTCCTCCAGATTTAGGCCCAGACACAGGAAAGATTTCATTTATAACTGGATTCTAAGAGCAGAGCAACAGAACATCGGATTAAATAACATTTAAACAAAAACATTTATAGTAACATTTTGTAAGAGAGGTCATTCTTACCACATAAGAAAATCCTTTTACTTTAGCTGCATGATTCCCACTGTGCACTTCAATGTCAACATTATTACGTTTGCTCTTCACCTCCCCCAGTGAACACACCAACCTACAGAGAAGCACAAAGCGATTCAGACAATATAAAAGTGCAAAGAATTTGTTAGCATTATATATGCAGATGTGTTAATCACAGCAGCACTATACATATTTATTTTTTATATGCCCAGGCTATATAAACAAATTTAAGGTTGAATTTGTTAAATGTAATTTATTTGTAGGGCAAAAATGACCACCAAGTAATGCAACACAGGAATAGTGAATTAAAAAAATTGAAAATATCGGAGGTTTGCAGTTATCAGACACAACAATACATTTTGGCACAGAAGACCTTTCAGCAAACAGACATTTTGCATGAAAAATAACACTCTTAGTTGTTTGGCCTTCCATTTTAAGGTTCAGCATTATCTAGTGGCAAACATTCAGCAAATCATTTCAACCTTTATGACCATCTCTCATAGGAAAGAAAACAGTAATAATTGTGGGACACAAAACACAACTTGATTTCATAGGAACTTACTTATTACTGTTGCTGCTTCTTGTATCCAGTTTACATGGAGAGCCACCTACATCAATAGCGATTTTTCTTGAATCAAACTTTTCACTTTTATTGAAACCAAAATCTCTTCCACAGATCGTTAACTTTGTTCCACCTCCTAAGGGTGCACTGAGTGGAGATATCTAAAAAAAAACAAACAAAGTAGTTTGAAAACTGAGCACTTAAATTGGTTATTTTTGTGTCTGTTATCTTAATTCACCACAGTTTTTGTCTGCAATTTTTGTAACTAAAATGACAGTTTAATTTGCTATGATGCACGCCATTTGCGTAAATGATGATGCAAACATTCCATTGAAGCGGTTTCCCAGCAGCTTATTTAGTTCAGTTCCTATTAAAGCTTCCTTTCACAACACGGGGTGTCCTTATAGACTCGGCAGTACCACCAAACAAGCCAAGCTGACAAGGTTAGCTCTTTTACTCAGCAGTACTAAATATTCAAATTATCTCGCCTCATTTGCGGCTTGAAAGGCTTTGGATATTTTTTCTCAATAAAGGAGAGGCAGGTCAAGTATTTGCGTCTCCTACGGAGGAAACCCTCAGTAGCTCATAAAGGTCTATCTTGTGTTTCGTATACCACCCACGGAGACTGGCTGTTGAATTGCTTCACAAAAGGAATATTGCTTCCTGAAAGTCAAGGTCATTGTACCTTTCTGCTCCTATTCTTCTGGTGTGTTTACTGTCCCCCTGCCTTCACAGGATTGCAATGAAGTGACCGAGGCTTTCATGAGTAAGACTTTTTCAAGATAAACAGCTGCTAACGTAACAAAATAAAATATTCGCTGTGTTGATCGATATGGTCATTTTTGTAATTATATCACGTTCTGCTGTAGTTTATGATAAGATGAAGGGTGGCACCAGTCTATTTTCAAAGTAAGGGATGAAAAACACATGTAACGTGGGGAGTGAGCTGCGACCTTAGAGATAGCTGGGGGGCAGGTTTCCTGAGTCCAGAGGCCAGGGCTGCACTGGTGTGCTCTGGAGCAGCGGTCCTGGCACCATCCGCAGCTCATGAACACAGGGGCCAACAGGCATGAGCTGCAGGACAAGAAATGATCACATCCTGGTCCCCACAATGGAACCTTTGTGATCTGGAAGAAAAGGGAATGAGTTACAAGTGAAGTTGAAACAGTCCCGGCCAGCGTGAACCCTGCTTTGTGTGCACGTTGCATGCCGGGATAGGTGCTGGCTCCCCCTTGACCCTGAACTGAATTATAGGGTTGGGTACCCCCTCTGGAAAATGAACTGCAGTATACCGTGGTACACATGCATGTACCACAATATGTGGCGCGTTATACCGTTTACTATTTTGCATGTTTATATATGGAGACTCTCTGATAGTTTGATTTCATGATTAGTAAAGCATATTGAGTTGTATATGAAATAAAGTAATGAAAATTGTTGTTTTATTGGAAGCAAAGAACTAGAAATAACACTGAACAGTGTAATGGAACAATTTGACAACATGCCAATTTTTGTCAATCATAAAATGATTAAATCTTTTTTCACAAGGTATTGGAGGATAATTTTGCTTAGCAAGATAATGAAAAATTCAAAATACAAAAGGTGCTTGTAAGTTGTAAAAATTTTTCTTTACAATGAGGATAGTGGACACTCACAACCTTACGAAACATGTTTAGCATGTTCGATTGCACTTGGCTATTTCATCTAAAACTTCAAAGAATCCTCAATACTTGCTTAAAACATTGCTGAGACAAGATATTCTGAAACATCTTAAGACAATCTAACTTGCAAACAAGAAAAAAAATCAAAGCATGTCTAATGGTAGTAAGAGAATTAAAAACACGATCAAGACTTGACTTCCTTCCCACTAGAGTTACAGTAGAATCAGAAAAACTAGAAAAAACAGCACATGTTCAGTGGGTCATTGAAAATAAGTATGTAACATGTACCATTAACAACATCAATGGTAAACAACCCTTAATAATATTACAACAACCGTACCACGTGGAGTTGTAAATTATATTTGATGATAATTTTCTCTGATTCTCCATAAAAATATATGGGTACTCTTAGAAATGAGAATTGCCTTAGCAAGACAACTCTAAGGAATTACCTTCTGTTTTTCAGGAGAAATTAGAAAAATAATCCCGTTGTTATCATCAAATACTCCCCAATTCAGATTATTTCCATGTGATTTCCGAAATATCTAAAAAATATTTCTAAATTTACTAGCCAATGAAATATGGGAAATACCTTTAGTATGACTTTTTTTTTACTCAACCTTCTAAAGTCAATGACATTTTTATTACAGTCATTTTGTTATTTGAATCCAATTTGATTTCATGAATGTAAACAGGAGAAAATCTGTTACAAAAATCGAAAAAATAAAACGGCTGACGGAAATTGACGGAAATTATTGAGTGTAGCAGTACGGTCTAAGACGTACCGTGGTATGTACTGCGTGACTAAAGAACCGCAGTTTAAAAAAGTGTTGGATGTAGCTCAAACTTGGATTTTTACCACCTCGGAAGAAAACATATATTTGGAAAGTTATGGGAAATGCATTAAGCCTTTATATAATTTCTAAATGAAACATTTAAAAATACAATGTAACAGTCATATGCAAGGATACTGCATATGACTGTTGAAAAGCTCTTTCTTAAAAACTCTTACTCTGAACCATCACACATTCTGTATGGGACAATTTGCAAATGCAGTATTAAATCACTGAACTGCAGTACAAATCTGACAATGATAAGGAATTACATCAGGCAAGGAGTTCGTAGTTTTTTGGAAAATACTTTGCCTTACAATGATCCTTATCTTAGACTACAAACCAGTGCGATCAACCTTCCAACCAACCTTTAATTGGTTTAATTATGTACAGAAATAAGTGGGATCAACTCTCAAACACTCAAGATTACAAGCATTCAGAGTGCTATATAGGTCTACTGATTAAATTTCCCTCTGAATCAGTAAACTTAAGTGAGGGGAATTCTGAAACCCTTCTTCAGGCAAAGGATTAGTGGTAATTGCTAAAATAATATAATAATAAATAATATAATAAAGTGTTCAAGAAGATTATTACAGAAACAGCTCAGTTGGGATGAAGACACAAGATACACACAAGTACTCCTGAACTAGTTCTAGGAAACACTGCTTTAATATAATACCTATTTTTACAACTAATTACCTTTTTGGAAGAATACTTTTAAAAGAAAATAATTTTAGAAATGTATCTAAGCTTATCCAAGCTATTCACCTTGTTTCCTGTGATCAACAATGAAAAGCCATCCGGTTTTTCAGCCGATACCACGGCCACTTCAGGAGAAACTGGCAAAGTGTCCAACTGGAAATTTACGTGAGGAGTTCTTTGTCCTGAACGGGAAATCACAACCTAAAAATACCAAAAATAAAACAGAAACAATTAAACTTGGTGTAATGTGCTAGTTAACGCTGAAGACTATATGAATCTTGAGTCCTTAAGCCTTCATGGGTTTGGATCTTTTCATGATTGTAGAAAGTGAATAAAACCGACAGATGTTTGTAAATTATACTTATTCTTTAATCGACAACAAAAAGACCAAAATCGACGACCGAAACTTTAAAATTACAAGTCAGCACTGGTTTCACAAGTTTCGCACAACTGAGAACTAGATAACAGTTGATTCTTTCTATTACTTTTGTGGTCTTCCCATGTAAGGTTAAAGCGGGATTTTCTTTGCCTCGAATTACAGTAGTTCCCAAATCCAATTCTGTAGAACAACACTGTTCTTTGGGGATGAAAAAGAGTTGGTTACAATTACACAAGGCTCAACATTCAGAAGCGAAGCAAAGCTGAGCCCAGTCAGTACTGGGACCTAAACCTCTTGGGATCTCAACCAGATTACTGCTGCAGTTGGTGTTGGTGGACCAGTAGGAGACACTCTTCAGTCCATCACACTGTAGCAAGGACAACTGTGCTTCAGATACATAGTCCTTTAACTGCGACACTAAACTGAGGTCCTGACTCCTTGGTCATTATAGAACCCATGGATGTAAAGGTTCACTAAGAGTGAGGATGGTTAACTTAAGCATCCTAGTTCAATTTCACTCGGCGCTCGCATAATCTGGCCACCTGAGAAACTGCCTGTTAATTCTAATTATTCATTTCTCCATCCGATAATCTACTGTACTGTGGGGGTGTCGGTATGCATCACCCAGGTGAGTGCTTTACTACAGTGATGGATGGGAGTGTGTCATTTCATACATACACTGCAGGATGGGACGTAACATGCTTTGCGATTCTTCTGATGGGAATTGCTACATATATCCAGGCAATTGTAATTCCTAAGTATTCTACACTGTAAAGACAGAATTGGCTCTAAATGAACAAGTAATAGGTTTATTCCATGCTGAAAAGAGAAGAAAGAAAACACAACGTTTTGGCTGTGGAGCCTTCTTCGGGTATAAGTGGCTCTAAACGTTTTATTATTTTAATGTCAGTATATTTGGTTGGCCCTAGAAAAGGCAAGAATTAATGGTGTATATTTCATCACAGCAAAAAGTTCAAGGTTACACTCCATATAGGTGCCTTTAGAGTCTGAGCCTCTTACCAGGATAGGCACCAGCTACCCCATGACCCTGAATTGAATAAAGCAGTTAAAAAATAGATGCGTATGGATTAATTTTAGTGCAGAAGGTAAAATCAAATAAATGCCTCTTAAGTTTGTCCCTGAAAGGCCCATCTAAGACATACAGTTCACTATTAAATACTCAACATCATCTACACAATTTCTTATTACAGGTTAAAATTTTGGAATTTGTCCCCCTGTATGGAGAGTATACTTTTATTAGTTTGTGTTAGTGATATCAACTTGATATCATGTACAAGAATTGCAAGAGAGCATTTTTGATTTACTGTGGGCAGTGGTGTTTCACAATATAATTTCCAAACATGTTGAGAGATGTCTGAGCCTTATAGCCTTCTACGTTTTTCATGTAAGGTTTACTATTACTGTTTGCTGCAATGGTATACTTGAATCCTGCTGAGCTTGGCCGTTCTAAAAAATAGCCTCTTCAAAGCTGTAATAATAGAGGTCTTTGAAAAAAGTCTCATGTATTAACACGGTCAAGGTTGGTTACAATGCAGAAACCACTGAAGCATATAAGTGGTCAACCATCTTCTAAAGGAGAAAGCACTGTGCTCATCTCTCCACATTTTGCTCAGTAATTCACTGTTCTGTGTGATTTGACCCCAGACTGACAAAGAAAACACATCCTTGTCTCCTCTTGCTAATGTAAAAGAATGCCTGCATATTTCTACAATCGCATTTGCCAAAACAAAATCTGAGAAGGCCTCCAGGCAGAGATAAACTACATCATAAAAAAGCTATTGTGCCTGCAGGAATAATACCACTGGAATTCTGAATTCCATTTCAGTTGGCTTAACTTTATTGTATTTAAATAATTCCTCTGCTGTTGTATCTAAAATGTGAAAATGCATGAAATTAAGATTCAGTACAAAAGGGGAACAACGGATATACAACAAAGTGAACATTTCAGTGGAAAATACTTTAATTCTTGATAAAATAAAATGTTATTTTTAGTAACTGTAAATAAAGTATGTTTACCCCACAGCTTTTAGCATAATTGAAAACTATAGGTGTTGAGAATAATTCTTTCAAGCAGAGATGTTTGCTCCACATCTCCAGCTCCCAACTAGTACAAATGTGTCATTGTGAATGATCACACTGTGAATTGCACAGCAAGTACTGTATTACACTTATTGTAACCTAAAAAAGACTCTTCTAAAGGAAAATATTTCCTTTGGCTGAATTGGCATCACACAAGAGAATTTCACAATCAGTCCTGTTCCAAATGCTTTTTTCTTTCTAACAAAAGGGAAATAAATCGCACTGTATCTGGACTCAAAACAGTTCCTAGCATTCTCACAATATTCAAGGTTAAATTCTCTCTCTCCAGTGGACAGCTCACTACTCTTCACAACAGCTGCAGCAGTTCAGCTTCCCAAAATCTGCCTGAAACAATGGGAAAACAGCAACAGCTGCTCATGTTCTGTAACATGCAATATGAAAACTTGTCATCGAAGTCTCACACTAACTATTAACACTGCATTAATTTTTAATTCCACTTCCTTGCAGCTGTTCCATTTTTGTGGTCGACAATTTTACTCGTTTCTGCTATTATTTATAAAATTTGGGTGAAAAGAACACTGAATTTGGAATACCTTTCCAAATGTGGACACACACGAAAATCAAAATTTGATCTTTATCTGTCTCCAAGATTTTTTCATTCTAAGGCAATGTATGGAGAAATACCTTCTGACAGAGAGGCCACTGTCAAATTTAACAGGCAAGAAATTTAAGCTACAGGGCAAACTAATAGAATTTTGTTTCTGTAACCTCTCATTATCTGAATTAAGAGGGCAAGCATAAATAATCAAGTATACTGAAATTCATTTTAGATGAATGTTGTTAAAAAAACATCCTGTGAGCTGGTCAAAGAGTCTACTGGGCAAACAGGAAGTACAAAGTTTTCTCAGCTTCACTTTGCACCTGTGTATGTTTATTCCTTCAAGAATCAAGGATTCTTACATGAATGAAAACCAACAATATCCTGTTAATTTACATATAACAATAAAAAGGGAAACTGCACATTCTCCTTGAGTGCTGGTTTTAAAAGGGTCTGGTTTGAAGTCTCTCATTAATCTAACCTAGTAGGGCTACTTTCATTATTGTTCCTTCAAAGCAATATGAACTACCAGTTTTATCTCTTGTGGAAAGTCTAATCTGATGACTTTTGTCATTATTTACTTTTATTTGTTTGTCAGACTCCTGAAAAACCAGTTCTAAACTGTTACAACATCATTTTCAGCTTCCTAAAGAGCCTGTACATATTGCTTCAAAGGGTATAACAGAAAGTCCTGAAAATTGTATTCACAGTATGCAGTTGTTCATTTTAGATCTACTGTTAGGATTTTCTTAGCTCTTTCTCCAGCAATGGTCAACAGTAAAACTAAAAAAAAACCTCAACAAACTATTGGCAAACTTACACTAAAAAAGAAGGCAATTACTTTTTAAATAATCTGCCACACATCTTCCTGAATTCAGACCATATTCAATGGAAGATCTTGTTACTGGTTTTAAGGCTCTAAGAAATCTGGCTCCATCATTCATCTCTGAACTCCTTCGTGTTTACACTCCCTCTCGTGGGCTCTGGTCAGATTAAGCTGGTCCTTTTAGTTCCTAGGACTAAATCTCAGACTTTTCGTGACCGGGATTCTTCTGTCGCAGCTCCGTTGTTATGGAATGCGCATCCTCTGACTGTACGAGAGACAGTTCTTAGACTGTAAGTTCTAGTTTTGTTTTTTTACTGTGCCTTTTTGTCTTTTTCTTTATCACCATATACAGTGTACTTGGGTTTCGATAAGGCACTTTAAAATTAAGATTATTATTATTATTTCTCAGAAATTATGTTTGTATAGTACAATGAAAAACAATTCAGTGGTATATGATATATGCATGAAGACGAGTTTGAAATTCTGAAATTTAAATGTATTGCTCAGTTTAAGAATTCATTTTGGGAGTTGAGGCAACAGTGAAACACCAATCTGGACTTACCTGAATAACTCGGCCCTCAGAAGTCCCCAGATTGGCTACGGTGAACTCCCCCCGGGTGAACACTGCGATGGAGGTCAGCAGGACGTTGCTGAACTGCCCGAAGAACAAGTCCAGGCGCTGCATGGTGGTTGTGACTTCCAGCTGGTACCCCTCTCCATGCTTCCCACACCCTGATGTGTCATCTGGCAAGCTCTACAAAAGAACACATGCCTTTATATTAAGGCTTAAGAGTCAAGCAGATCACTGTTTTTCAGAAGCACGCGGCATTACGCCATTTTCGAAATTTCCCATTACCTTCCTTGCTGTACAATATAACATTTCGTTGGGCTATTCATCTCTTAACACATAATCAGCCAGATAAGCAAATTTGGCTGAAAAAGACAGAAGTGGCAGTTTTGTAATGGCTGTGGGTAACGTGTGTCAAAAAAGGAATGTCACACTTCTTTTCAAAGTAGCTTGCACACTTATGTGACACATAAGGCTTATAGAAGAGGGGTTAGTTTTGAGCTCCAGTAAACAATAACCAGACAACAAAGAAACTGGACTCTTTGTGTATATTTTGTGCCCAAATGTAGCATTTTCTTCTTAACATTTCATGAAACGCTAATAAAATGAACCCAAATGACCACAAGAAGCAAAAAAAGGGAAAACAATTGGTACAGTCGATCAATTTCTAGGTTTTTGTCCCATGCCTTGACTCCCACCCATTAATTATTAATGAAGAAACAGAACATGGCATTGAACGGTGACTAAATATTTCAGTTAATGGTTAAAGAAACACTGTAAAAACAATATTCTTTCTTAGTTCTTACTACTTTCCTCTCATTACATGGAACATGTTGTTTCTTATATCTCTGGGGAGGTTTCTAAGGCAAACAAATTTCCGTGTTTTAGTGAATTGTTGCACAGTTTAGATTCTCACAAAGCCAAGCCTTCCTCTGAAATTAATAGAGGAAAATACATTAAGGAATCAGGATATATTACAATAGAATGAAAAACATTGTCATAATTTTCATAATTTCTGTTGAAAAGGGGAATCGCTACAATATGTGATCTAGTGCTAAATTGTGGCTGAACAAAACTACAGTATATGGTGAAAACACTGTTTTTCCAGTTTCTGACTTTAAAAACTTATTTGTAGCTATTGCATTAAAGTTTTAATACATGAGCATAACTATGAGTGTGCATTATAGTACTAAAACACTCTAAACTGCTCATTAAGGATACTGAATGAATCTAGGTACCATTTATATGACTTAGAAGTGTAATGTTACAGGACATCATGAATCATACAGTAAACGTGGGTGGACTTACAATCTTGAAATTGATTTAAAAATGTTTGCGCACTTTGTAACTGTAGATCAAATCACTTGCAGAGGAATAAGAAAAGTTATGAAAAGGAACAGAATAATTTCAATGCTCTATAATCTGATAATAAGAAGATATTAATCACAGCTGTGAAAAAAAATCAATAATATCTGGTCTACAGGTGCTTTTATGTACTGTAAGCTGGTATGTAGAACTTTAGTGTATTTTTTTACACTGCCAATCTGTTCTGTAAATATATTAATTGTTAACATTGATGAATTTCAGCATTTGTTACATTAATAACCAATTTTTGTTTTGGTTGGGTAATGGAGCTCTTAACGTTTGGAAAAAATATCTAAGTGAAGTCTAAGTGACAGACTGATCAGAGGATTAATAAAACAGATTCCTTACTGTTCAGTATGTATATCTGTTGTATACGATGCTGGATTTTTTACACTTTGTTTACTTTTATTTTACTGAAAAAGATTAGTTCAGAAGACTGTGCGGTCGCTCAGAACAGTTAGTATATTTTTCCAAAGGAAGCACAAGTTTATCTTCATACTCTTTAGACCTGTTTTAACAAGTCTTCTCCTGAATTGTATTCCATATCTTAGGGTATGCCAAAATTTGCCAGTTTGTTAATCATCGTGTCCCAGTTGTTAGAATGACATTAATCTGAAATAGCCCATTGTTCTGGCAACTGTTTTTAAATTCAATTTATAAAAGGACCCTTTTCAGACAGTAAGTTTTTCATGCATAAAAATTTAATAGATTTTTGAACTAATAAGAACAACACATGATTTACTAGTCATTCAGGGAAAGCAGATTCAGTTGAAGTCCACAGTTATACTTTTTACTATGGTCTGTCTAGGGATGTATGCTTATATGTTTGTATCTCACTTAAACTTTAAATGAGAATGAAAAAAATGACCACAATATTTCCTAAGAACACTGCAAAAGCAGCATACAAATTTCAAAAGATTTAGATAAGATTCAAAATACCTGGCAGGTTACTTCTAATGAAGACAAGTACAGGGTTTTATAAATACAAATGATATACAGTAGCTCTAAATACAAAATGGAAAAGGCTTCATATGAAAAAGACTTATGTGTTTAGGTTGACATCATTTTAGACAACAATGAGAAGCAATTAAAAAAGTCTAACAATGCATTAGGATATATAGATAAGGTGCAGAATTTAAATCAAGGGCTGTTATCTTAAATAGTATAAAGCATTAGTAAGGCCTCATTAAGAATACTGAGTACAATGTTGGTCACCCCATTAAAGATATTGCTTCTCTAAGTTACTCCAAGACAAGAGCAATTAGATCCCTTTTGGAGCTTAAGGGAATGTCCAACACTAACTAATAAATAAAGAATCTTGCAAACAAAATCCGAAAAATATCACAATTATAAAAGCTTTGTGAGATGTACTTGATCCCAACCCAACAGGTGAACCCTGCAGAACAAAATATATCCAGATGTGTTTTTTTTACATTTTTTTTCCTTTAACCCCAAACATGCACTGCTTTACTGACTCTGATTAAGTTTCATAGACATGCAAGCCTATAAGGTATCTAAACCGTACAATAATTTTGTTAATAGCAGTCTTTTGTTCACACTGTTTCAAAAGCATTAGATCAGCACTACTGGAATCAACATAAACATCTTATTTTCTTAGGTCGGATGCTGATCTGACAGATTGAACAGGTTTTGTAATTGCAGTGTGGTCCAGGTTTTAATACAGCAGCGTGACTTTCTTTCAGGAAGATCAAATGAATGGGGTGTATTAACTGTACGCACAGACCACTGAATGTTTTGCGGGGTTAGTGTTCAGTCTCTGAAACTCCCTTGTATGAAACAGAGTGTTCTTCCCCCACTACCAAACAGAACCCTTTGGTAAACTTGCAAGACTGGCTTGGTATTTATTTTGAGTTTCCCTTATCCTTAAGGCTATAATACTGTTCTTTAAAACAATCTCCTCCCTTTGTTCTGTCAAGACCTTTCGCAGAAAATTAAATAGAAAATATTTGCACTACCTTTAACGTCTACATAAATACTTTCCGTTTTGTTTTAGTTCAACAGCAAGCTCCACCATTCTAGGTAATCTGATCCCTGTGTACGAGAGTCCTACACATGTCTTTTTTGTCTGTAGACTTAAGGATTCCCATTTTGAAACTCCTTGTAAACCAAGTCCAAAAATACTTCCTGAATGCATTGCTTGATTTGTCAAGAACAGAAATGAGAATTAGCTCCAGCTTTGAATTTTCACATAAAAGACGCAGGATAAGACTAAAATAGCACGCAGCTAGAACGTGCACATTGTGCCCCAGTCTTGCACGGCTACAGTAGGATCAGTTCACAAGCCCACCTGGCTTGTGAATGGCACGTTATAATGAAATTTGATTCTTGAACTGCTCTTAGCAGGGGTCGTTTTATTTCATTATGAGGCAAGGGGTTATTACTGTGAAGGGAATTGGAGAACCTGACAATAATGCCAGATTAGAAGCTGCTAACTGTGCAGCTGGCTTGAGGCTGTACTCTGGCCTGCGACAGCCATAAGGGAGCAAACGGACAGGATACAGACTATTGGGGCTACAGCAAAAAAAAAGGAAAAGACTAGGAGAACAATATTACAGTTTTCTATGTTTTCTGAATTGCAGGAAAACTTTCAAAAATAATGGTAATGTGCTAACCCCCCCCCCCCCGCACAACTACCAAAGCACCTGCTGCAGAGAAAGAAGTCTAAACCCTGGAGCTTTTCTTTTCCCTTGCTCACACACACACAGTCCTCTCCACAGATAGGCTCTCCTGCTCAGACAAACTTTGGTCCAGACCTGCGATTTGTTTAATCATTCACGTTAAGCACTTTCTGCCCAGGAATGGCCTGGATGAACACTGGGCTGTAAACTACCCTTTTTGTTATTTTGGACATTAAGTGTAAGAATCGCTGAGTACATATTTTTCCAAAGAAGAAAAATAAACCTTCGTGTTTCTTTTTTTAGTCTTTAAATAAGGTAGGGAGTTGCAAACAAAGAATGGAAATATTTCCCATGTGTTTCTGGAATTTTACTTTAAGACTGTGGGATGGATTTTTTCTATTTATGTTTTTATTTAGGTTTAATTAGAAAGAAATATATAATTAATTATTTGTTAAGATCACTCCTTAAGTTTTTTTTTCCATTTACCAGTGCTGTCCCAGTCTTCTATTCTGATTGCTAGCAAATCCTATTAACTCACAAAGACATAATGAGCACACTGTATCTTTCTCATGATTAATTTTTTCCCTCTAAATTAAAATATACTATTTATACCACCTTGAAAGTATATATACCACCTTAAAACATACCTTATTTTAAGGTGGTACCACCCTGGAGTCTGTGTTGGGTTGTGGGCTACAGTCACAGATAGCTATAGTGACAGTTGTTCCCCAAAACAAAGCAAATTAAGTCAGATTGATCCAGTTAATGCCCTGCTGCTTAAATGGACACTCTCCCATTTTCCAGATGTCATAAAGGATTAAATAAAAACATATTTAAATTGTAGAACAGACAATTGAGTAATCTTGTCTATAGACAACACTTTTGCAACTGCATTCTTGAACCAAACGATCTGCAATACCACAAACAAAATTCTCTGTGCTTAAAGGCTAAAACTCTCAGATAAAGACAGCTGGTGGAATTACTATTTCTGTTATTATTCTTTGCATTGGTTGAAAATAGCTGTACAAAAAAAGGGAGAAAAACAGCTAAGTATTCATTACTTGGCACAAAAATGTGCAAAAAAAAGTAAGAGAGACAGTTGGTAGGGATTAAAATTATATTTGGTATGACCTTAAATAAACTAGTAACAAAGGCCACTGTCTAACAAACTGCTGTATCTAT